GAGTTGGAACCAGCCTTGGAGCCTTCGGCGACGGCGTGGCGGCTGAGCTCTCCGGGCAAGACGAGCCTCACCGCCGCCTGAATCTCCCTCGCCGACATCGTCCTCCTCCGTGAATGCTGATTCAGCCTGGCCGCCTCCTCCGCTATCCTCTCGAACATATCCCCCATGAACGTGTTCAACACCGACATCGCCTTCCCCGATATCCCCATCTTCGGATGCACCTCCTTCATCACCTTCCACACGTACCTCCTGTACCCTCCTCCTCCCTCGCCGGATAATCTCCCCCTCCTCCTCCTCCTCTTCCTCGCCGGAGTTTCCTCCGCCGACTTCTCTTCCTTCCCCGTCTTCTCTTCCTCCAGCCCTTTCTCCTGGATTCCTTCTCCGGCGGTTTCTTGCCCTCCTTCTTCTTCGTGGGTTTCTTCTCTTTCTCCTTCGTCTTCCTCTCTCTCTTTCTCTATCTCCGGGGATTTTCTCTCCTCGCCTTTGGCGCCGGGGGTCTGCGGCGGCTGAGGCGGCGGCTCCGGCGACCGGTTCTCTGGACCCGACACCGGAATTTCAACCCTGACGACGTCCTCCGCCTCCTTATCCGGAGGTTCTTCTTCGCCGACGGGAATGCTCAGAGTGAGTTCCTCTGTTTCTTGCTGGTTATTCTCCAGCGACTCCGTCTCCGTAACTTTAGCATCTCCGTCGAAGACAGTCACTTTCACTGTCTCCTCCACCACTCTCTTCTTCTTCGTCACCGACACCACCTTTCGTGACGATCTCCTCGGCGCCATTGATGCTGCTGCGTTGCTTACAGCGCAAGGGTATTTACCGGAATTTGCATGGGTGAGCGTGGGTAAATAGAGGAAGGGTAACTGAAGTGTGACATCTGGTGATACGTGTCGGTCTCTGACAAAAAGCTCAGTGCTTACGTGGTTTGCTGGAAAGTGTTCGAGTTAAAGAATTACTTCTCTCAGTCATATACATATACATATACATATACATATATTATATGCAAAGAACACGATTTATTCAGATAGTATTAGGAGGAGCGTGACATATAAATATGTGTTCACTGGTATCTCCAAATTCCTCATAATAGCTCTAGACTGATTTAAGACATGCAAATGCAACATGGAACATGATCAAACATGGGACATGCATGCATCTCGATTCATCCTTCTTCCCCAATATCAAAAGTCCACACCTTTTTATCATTAACCCCCCTGGCGATTTACAAAGGAGTACTATGCCTCTTGCCTTGTGTTTGAAAAAAGGGGCCTTTTCCATAATTCAGTCATAAATAAAAGGGGTTTGGTGCAATTTTCTAAACCTCTGTAAGGAGAACTTCAAATTAACCTAAACCCTCTCCTCAGCATTACAAGCCGTCTCGCTATTTCCCCGACTGCTAATCTATGATTTTTTGCATGACATATGCTGCTTACAATAAGGATCGTATATAATACGTACAAATGTAGTCTCTTGCATAACTCTACACGTAGACTGAATTGAAATCCATGGTTAAACCCAACTAAATGATTATATATATATACACGCTATTAGAATTAAGCCGCGAGAGGTATATCATAGATCGACGAAGATGATAAATGCTATATATATATATATATATATATACATACACAGAGTATTCCAATTATAACCCTAGTATTGGAGCCTTTGGCGAAGGAATACATACTGTAAGCATAGTTGGATTTTTCTTTAAGTGCTCCTACACCTTCTCCTCTTAACCAAACCGGTCTGGCAACGACGAACACCGACGAAGAAAGACTCAACTTCTCGACGGCCAAAGTCCGTGTCTTCGAAGAACCTTAGATCTTCAGACAATCTTCTCTTCCTCGTCGGAAGATTCTCTCGCCGTTGCTTTCTCGGCGCCGGAGGACATGTCTCCGCCGCCGGAATCTTGTGATCACTTGAACTTGGCGTCACCAATCCTAACTCTTCTGATCTCTTCGACGTCTCACGATGATTTTCTTCTTCTTGGCTTGTGGGTGTCTGTGTTAATTCTTGTTCTTGTTCTTGTTCTTGCTCGCGCTCTTGCAGTGGTTGCCCTTCGAGGGTCTCGAGATCTTTAGCCATGGATGTGGTGGATATGGGAATGCGAAAGTTTTCGTGGGTTTTAACTTTAAAGGACAGGATATTCTTTTGAAAATTGAATTTAGAGAGAGAGGGAGAGAGTGAAGAGGTTGTATTTTGTAAGGTGTGTGCATGCATTTAAATTTTTAATTTTGATTTGCTTTCATTAGTTGGATTGGACAATAACTCTTATTTGTGTCCTCTCTTTTTTTCTCGCCTTGTTGTTTTCAAAACGGTGACCACTTATTCATATCAGATTTACATTCGTGGATGAACCAAAAAGGATGTATCTGTAATTATATACACACACAAATACATGGAATTAGAAGAAAAAACTTTTCAACTGCCCAACTTTTTCAAACGAAAAAAAAGGAACACCGTTACATCCATTTATTTTATTGTTACAAGAAAATAAATTCATATTTTATAAGATGATGACGAAACCCATTTGTTATATGGTGTACGCCATTATATATTGGATATGAAATTAATGATGGGAAATGAAATAACGATTATGTTTGGAAAAAAATTACATGTTGTAACTGGTAAGGAGAGGGCCTTTGTCTAAATGTGTCTCCCCATAATGTCACGTCATTCTTCTATGGTTTTGTCTAAATACGTACAAATACTTCGCATAGGATCCCATTTCCAACGCCTTGAAAATCATATTTCATAATTGATGTCCACTTTCCGATTCCCTTTGCTCTTATCCTCTGCTTCGCAGGGCCTATGTCTGCATCCAATAATATCTCGCCACGTCACTCGGTGGCAGACCGCGCTTCGGAGCGTATGTTTAGTGGCCATGGTATATGCGTTTTTCCACCATATCGGTTTATTCCGGTTATAGTTCGGTTACGGTTTTTATTTGATTATTGGAAAAGATAAATGAGTGTTTAATTTTAAAACCGGAACTATGAGTGGAAGAGTACGATTGAACCAGAATTAAGTTTTGGATTATTCTAATTTGATTTGATTTGATTTCATTTTGTATGTATCAAAAGTACAAAACCACAGCCTTGGCTACCATTTTTGGTACGAATTTTAAATCCGTAAAATTAAGCGGTAACCGGTCTAAGTTGTAGCTTTTGTACAGATTCCGGATTTGTGCTCTTATTGCACTAACCGGAATCATATACACATGGCTTATAATAGATTTAAACAAGGTGAATATAAAATAGGTTCGGCATTCGGGGGACCCACTAATCTACTCTCGTTAGGCAGAGAGAATAATAATGCATAGTGTTGGTACAGGTACACCGACTCCTAATAATAATAATAATTAATAAGAAGAAGAAGATCCCTTCACCATTCATGCATGCATTGTCATCTGATGATCATTAGAGTAAACTGCGGGTAGTGATAAGGGTGTTTATTTCGGTTTTCGATTTGAATCCAATTTATATTTCGATTCGATTTTTTTCCCAATTTTACAAAACTATATATATATATATATATATCCATTTGAGTTTTATATCAAATCATTCAATTTGTATTCTGGTTACGGTTATGTATTATTCAACTTATCGATTCAATATATACATGTGCTGTCAATATATATATATATAAGTTGCAACAGATGGTACACGTAGAATGGTAGGAGGTTACTTAGAAAACTAAGGGGAGGCGCAATGCATGCAAATGCAGCTCAGAATCCAAACAAGAGATTGGTGACATGGAATCTGAGGATCACCGATACGCAATACAAAAGAAGAAGAAGAAGAAGATGTATTAATGTGGAAAGTCGTGATCAAGGAGTGGGGTCCACACTAGGAGAAGTCACCTGAGATGTTCTTACTGCATACTCTTTTGACAGTCGTTGTCTGCGCAAGAGATAGAATCTGAGCTCTCCAATCCAAGGACCCTATCTGTCACAACAACTACAGGCACACACACACACACACACACACACATATATATATATATATATATATATATATATATATATGAACAAGCAATATTCACTATCGTACAAATTATATACGTTTGAATTTTATAAATAGATTAAAAAAAACGATAGTTTACAAGAAGAAAAATATATTACATGGTGACAGTGTAGTGGTTGCAACTTTGGTTGTAGAAGTGATCGAGGGTCCATTTGTTTTTCAAATGTTCCATGCTCGATTCCATAAGTGGGGATAAGAATGCAATTTAATTGCTCCAAATTATATATAAAAAAATACCTTAGATTTGTTTAGAAGGGAATGTAGCTAATAATCGCGTTCATGTGAAAATCATATAGGAAGAATGATTTTTTCCCTCATACGATAACGTTTTGTGGTAAAATAACATTTAATAATTTTTGCGCTTTATTAATTTTAAATTTTGTTTTCAAAATTTAATAATTTTTTTTTCTTGCAAGTCATTTTGTTCATAGGGGGGGATAGGGTAGGGTGCATTTTGTGTATTAAAATTAGAAACCTGTCGTTTTATGTAACTGTACTTTTCATATACCTAACACCTAAAACCATACATGTAATGTAACCACACACACATATGTATAGCCGTGGAGCTTACATAAATGTCGAAATTAATTAAGAAAATAGACCAAAGGCAAAGAAACATGTCATATGTCTTTACATAACATATACACATTGGTGTCCCCTCACTATCTTTTTTTTTTAAATAAAAAAATGCGCATATTAATTTTTGAGGGTTTAAAACCCACAAGTAATTAACTCATTTTTCTTTAAAACCAAAAAACTTAGACCAAAATTAATTAACTCAAATTCCATTATTATATTATTTAATTCTCGGAAGACTAATTAAATCTGCATGTACTTAAATTGGCGTATACATTGATTAATTAATTAATTAAATAAACAGGCTCGATTTCTTTGAAACTTCTTCCATATGCATATATAAATTGTTTTCCATGTGGGAGGAGTATGAGGAGTGAGCTGGACATTGTACAGATGGGGAATAATAATAATAAAAAATATACACATCAATTCTAGATTGAATCGGAAACATCATATTAAAATTTAAGTTGAATTAATTAGAAAGAAAATAGAGGATTAAATTAATTTTTTTTTTGTAAATGAAAAAGAAAAAGGAGAAGGTTAAATTAAGAAGCAAAAGGGGCTCTACGAGGAATGCCTTTTCTTCTTCTTGAATTGGAATATTGAGTTGGAGGATCCGTGCCTTTGTGCGTTTCTTGGTGTCTTCCTTTACGCAATCTCTCTTCTTCTTCTTCCTCCTCCTCATTCTTTCTTATTCCCACAAGCTGACGTCATCGGTGTAATTAATCACATAATTACAATTTAATTAAGCAATTATCGGTTATAACTAATGTAAAAATGTATATGCATGAATGTAGTTTTGGTTGTATAGCGGTGGATATATTAATATAACGCGTAAAACTATATATGGTACTAAATAAAAACGGAAGAAATGTCGCCATTCTAGACGTTAGAACAAATGTAACTATATGTCCATAATCATCATCATATCATCAAAAGGACACATCTCTCTATCTGCTCTTAGGAAGCAGAAACACATTCCATGAACATATATATATATATATGTATGCATGTGTGTATATATATGCGTGTGTATATAGGAGACGAACCTTGCAACCCAAGGAACAGAAGCGGAAGTGGTCGAGAAGGCTTCGGTTACAGATCTCACAGAAGAAAGAGACGGATTTGCCAGCGCCGCCGCCATGGGAGGAATGCTGCTTAGGCTGAGGTCTCTCGTTCAAGAAGAGGACTCTCGCGCTGTTTATTACATAAGTCTGAACTCCTCTTACGTCCATCTCCTTCTCTATCTCCGTCACCCTCACCACGTCGTGATACGACGATCTTCTTATCTGCCATCCACACCCACGTGATCGATCAATTTAGGGTTTTTTTTTTTAAATTTAAATTACAATACAACCATTTGATGAAATTCGTATTTATATATATAGGGTAAATATAGTGATCTGATTGATGATTATGTGAAAAAAAATGAAATGCGAAACGCGAAAATGTCGGTTCAAATTATTCTTGAATATTGGAACTTTCACATGATTAATCTAAGGTGGGACGATACAAAAAGTCAGAAACTTGGTTCGGATCGATGATCAAACCCCATAAAGAAAAATGTGGAAAATGAGGATTCGTCATAAAGAAAAACTTTGAAGAATTAATCAAGAAAACAGGTTCGTGTGTGTGTATATATATAATGTACACACATGTGTATGTATGTATGTATGTGTATGGACCTGGATGACGGGATGATCATGGTGGAGAGAGGAGCGGCAGAAGAAGCAAAACGCAGCGTTTCGACAGGAGAGGCAGAACATGTTGCATTCGTTCCTCGGAGTGTCTCTGTGTTTGGAGCAAACGTTGAAGAACTGAGTTCTCAAGAGAGGCTCCAACCATGTCGGCACCTCATCCATTTCTCTCTCCTGTGTTTTTTTTTTATAAAATTTGTTTGTTTCCCGAGAAAATCATTCATCAATAAAACAATAATATTACCCCCAAAAAAAACATTCACACACAAAACTCGAAGGAAATGCCATGGAGCAATTTCATCAATAAAACAATAATCGTTGCATTACCATTTGCAAAGATGACCAGTTTGAGAGAGAGAGAGAGAGAGAGAGAGAGATGGGAAGGTGAGAAGGAAAATCAGAATTTAAGGGTAAGAGAAACGTGGAGATATTATTTTATATATTCATCTTTGTTGGGAAAAGAAGATTTTAATTTTAATGCTCGCATTTAATAGTGGTAAATATTATTTTTACTCTTAATTAATCTTTATGTTTAAATATAAATATAAGAACAAATATTAAATATAGAAAAAAAATGGGGGGGGGGAGAGGGGTGATGTTAGGTTAAGGTTGCTCTAAGAACCGTTGGATTGAGCAATCGGGGAAGTAAAAAGTTCTTCATTTTCACATCTACACACGCATATATATATATATACACACACACACATGTTCACATAAGTTAGCGGATACGAAACTGCGACCTAATTTTACATAATTATGTTGAATAGGCCAGAAATTTTTTAATTTATATCTATTAGGAATAAATCGATTCGAATTTTGGCACGTTAAGTCCTTAATATATATATATATATATATATATATATATGTACATTTTTTTATATATCAAAGAGAAGAATTTCTGTGAAAAGAATCGTATGGTGTTAAGAGTTACAAAAAAAATATTGTTGTATCTTACATAACTGTGACGTTTTCGTCGTATGTATATTTTGTCTGCCGTCAAAAGAACCAAAACTATTAATGTGTACAACATCTTAACATTTATTATAAAAACTATATAAAGTGATGTCAAAAATATATATTTTGAGCAAAAAGATTTTGTCTTTCAGTCCATATTTCCCTTTAAAAGATTTTTTTTTTTAAAAAAAAAAAGAGAAAGAAAGAAATTGCTTATGGGTTGAATGAATTACTTTTATATATTGAGAGGAGGAAGTCAAACCTTTCACCAGCCAAAAGTTACACCTCCTTACAGGAATATATATATATATGCCAAAGAGAATCGATTAATAAGAAATCTATATACATGAAATTTGAAATTAGTTTGGTCTTAGAAAATAGCACGTACTATAACTATGACATCATTTGTATAAAATAGATAAAAAAATAAAAAAATAAATATATCATATACATTGTCACACCAATGTCCACGAAAATTAAGTTCTACAGATTTAATATTCGATAAGTTACCACGAGTTTTTTTTTTGTATTGTTTGTTTGTTTCATTTGCAATAATAATTAGCACACACATGCATGATAAAATTTATCTGTATCCTAAGAGCAAGTACAATATATCAATATGTATAAATAGTCACATTTTTTTAATCGAGTATTTAAATGAATATGAAAAGACATCGTAACCATAGGAAAGAATATATAGGTAGTAACAGCCAAACGAATTAAGTGCAGCCAAAGAAACGAAGGAAAATAAAATACAATACATATACATACACACATACATACATATAGGGGGGAACCATGTAACATGCTTTTGCTGTTGCTTGACGGGCGTGCCTTCGATGGACTCCTTTATGTGCCTCTCAAGCGATTCTTACTAGTATTTATGCACTTGCACCCTCCTCATGTTTGCCACCAAATTCTCCCTGGTTTCCTAATTTCAAATTTAGTTTTATTAATACAGATATTGTATGCCATAATCTCCATCGAAATAATTTACATATTTTTTGTTGTGGTAATTTTAATTTTTCGCTTTTAAGCACAACATGACTCCAAATCAGATTTGATTCAATTAAGTACAATTACTGATGGAAATGTTAGAGATCCAAAAAATTCCAAGGATTTAGTGGCCTTTCAAATATACGGAATAGGCCCTTATTATTTTAATTACCGTCCCGCAAAAAAAAATATTTTTTTTGTTGGCATTTCATGGAGAGAAAAAATGTGTTACAAGCAGGTGCCTTTCACTGTACAAATATATATATATATATAACCAACTTCGGATTTACCAATCAGAACAAAGAAGAAACCAACGAGAGGATACCCGACGGGAAGCTTCTAGAAAGATCTAAGAGCATTCGATCTTCTCAAGAACCTCCAACCTCACTTTCCTCTTCCAACCTTTCATGGCAGCAACCAAGTTTACTAACCCCGCAATCTGGCTTTTAGTGTATTCCTGCACTCAAGAGAGATGAAAACCAATGTTTCATCAACAAATCCTGTCAAATGAAGCACACTTCATCGTTCTTGTTTTTTTTTTCCAAGACATTTTCTTACCGGATGAGCTCTTGCCCAGTGGACATATTCTGTCTCAGGTAAATAATACGCCTGCGAAATAAGTTTTAGGTTAGGGCACACGCTTCTCTCTTTCGGTTTCGGCACATTGAGAGTTTTAAGATGACGAACTTTGCGAAATGTCGAAGTCCTTACCTTGATAAAGGTCTCGACGATTTGTAGCTTCGGCTTGACATTCGTGGGCGCAAAATGCTGAAGCCCGTTTATCAGAACCTGCGAAGAGATTATATTGGCGGCCATTAATTTTCTCGAAGAAATGTGTACATACTGTAACCATCCATAAATTATTCTATTGGTCAAGACGGATGGTTACTCACCATCACGGCTATCATCCACACTACATACAAAGTGTAAACACAGTTTTCGATTTCGGGTTTTAAATGAGGAATGTAATTCACCAAGGGCATATCAGGCAGATGGTTGTGGCAGATCCATACACGATTCGGGAAACTCAGCTCATTTATGATATCTTGGAAATAATAAGGATGGGGGAAAGGTACCTGGAGATCCAATGACATGAGAGCACGGCCTTCATCAGTACATCTCTTCACTCGTGATAAACCTTCGACCAGCGTTTCTGAAACTATTTCCACCCCATACTCCAGCAGGAGATTTTGGACCTAAGAAGCAAAAAAAGTTACAAGCAGAAGCAGATATATAATCTTTGAACCTGCGAAGAGATTATATTGGCGGCCATTAATTTTCTCGAAGAAATGTGTACATACTGTAACCATCCATAAATTATTCTATTGGTCAAGACGGATGGTTACTCACCATCACGGCTATCATCCACACTACATACAAAGTGTAAACACAGTTTTCGATTTCGGGTTTTAAATGAGGAATGTAATTCACCAAGGGCATATCAGGCAGATGGTTGTGGCAGATCCATACACGATTCGGGAAACTCAGCTCATTTATGATATCTTGGAAATAATAAGGATGGGGGAAAGGTACCTGGAGATCCAATGACATGAGAGCACGGCCTTCATCAGTACATCTCTTCACTCGTGATAAACCTTCGACCAGCGTTTCTGAAACTATTTCCACCCCATACTCCAGCAGGAGATTTTGGACCTAAGAAGCAAAAAAAGTTACAAGCAGAAGCAGATATATAACCTTTCCCTATGGTCCGAGGGAAAAAACATGCTCAAGCTGATTTCAGGTTCAGATTGATGATTTTGTTGCAGTTTGTTTACCACCTGGTATTAAATAATATGCTCTCACATGCCTCTCTTCCATGCTTTTTTTTTTTTCTGTGGAAACCATCTAAAGAGGACAATATGTTTGATATGCTAATCTGGATCTCCCTTGGTTTACATTTTCCTCGCTTATTACTATGCGTGCTAACATCACCAAAAAAAAAAAGCTAAATTTTCAACTACTAGTCAGATAAATAAGGAAATCGTCCACCATAGTGGTGATGAGTCTGAACTCTATGTAGAGAGACTTTCAAGGTTGTAAAGTAAATTCCTTAAATTTGCCAAAAGGTAACAGGGTCCTTTACCTCATGATGAATACCTCCATGAGCAAGCCTTGTTTTGTAGTGTTTGAATTCTCCGAGCATCAAATCGACATACCTGTTCATTAGATAATTCATCACAGATATGACAGTAGCTATGCACCAAGACAAGTAACGAGTAGACTCGAGTTTCTAAAGCATGAATTGTGTAGTAAACATCTAAATCTGGATTCAGAAATTAAACAAGTGGTTTGCCAATATACTACGCCCAACATGAGAACTCCCAAACAAACTAGTGGCATACTAATATCTATGATTCCATAGCAGTTGCAGGTCCAAATGTGAAGGCAAAAATGGAGTAAAAGACATATAAGAGAAACAAACCCATTATGTTCCATTCCAAGCTCCTTCACTTCCCATTTAGAATTAGCAATTCGATCAACATATCTGCAAAACCCACTAAATGTGAATGAACATACGGGACATATCACGGGAGAAGCACTAATGCGAGAGATCCTGGTCAAAATTTACCGCTATGACAGAAAATATGCTTTCGTCTCACTCAATAATGATCCAGAAATTGATAAACATGAGAACAAGAGGGTAGATCCAGGAGACAGATTCAATCCATTTTTATTACTTCCTTTCAACGGATACGGAATCTTTAAAAGCAGGATTTACCCATTCACATGGAGCAGTATCCTTGCAGTTGTCCTATGTATGTGCTCTGTCAGAGCAGGTACAGAATCGACCTGAGGAAATCATTCATCAGTGCAATTTATGCGAAATTATATCACAAGAGTATACAGTCTATTAAATGACTTGTACCAACCGATTATTCATGATGTATAGATATGAGAAACCAAATGTAAATAAGTTATTTCTTAAGAGTATACAGTGTATTAAAATGACGTGTGCCAACCAGTTCTTCATGATGTATAAATATGAGAAATCGAAGTAAATCAGTAAAAGGAGAAAACATAAATGTAACTAAAATGGACTCCTGCACAAATCCATCAATTGCTTAGAGGTGAGGTGACATAACGACTGTAACAAAAATATATATGGATTGTCATCGGGTCAACTGAATGGGAAAACACATTCGCCTGGAATTTCTTTCCGCTGAAATTGTTGCATCAGTAAGAGGAATGTACCAGTTGACCAAAGAAATCTTCGACCAGAGCACCATTTCTTGACATAAGCATTGATTGGAGATGAGCCTTTGATTTGTGCAATATCCGCCCAACAAGAGATATAGTGTCTGCAGAAGCACATCTTTCCTGCAAATAGTGATCATGTATTACAAAAACCTTTTATCACAACCACAAGCTGACGAGGAAGAATGGCACCAATCGTTCTCATATCCAGGTATGACAGGGGGGAGAAAATAGTAGAATTTCATCATGGTAAGGTGAGATTCATACCTTGAGACCGAAAGATATGCCTGATAAGTGACCTGAAATCATATTCAGGGGATTTGCAGGTGTCACATCACTAAGACTATGGACTGCATGAGGAAAGCCAGGTGAAGAAGATGAGGATGTTGACAATTGAGGTTTTATCCACTGCTCACAATCTTGTGATATTCGGAACAAGCTGCTCTTCAAACGATCTGTGCATTTAGAAACCACAATTAAGTTTTGTTTGTTGACCAAAATGGTTTACCTAGATATCCTAGTCTTAAAGAATGCACATGTTAGGTTTCGAAAGGAAAGAAGAAAGAATTAAATGTCATGTTACAAATCATATAAAAGGCAGTCGGTCGTAGCAATGCAAACAAAGAAAAGTACCAAAAGGAAACATGACAATCACTTACGATTGAGAGAGTCAGCAAATCCTTTTCCACTGGAATTTTCTTGACCAAATATTTGAAATACAAAATAGAAAAAAACCCCAAACAATTGGCATATTCCCTGCGAAAATTCACGCAGTTGGAACAGGAACTTTAGAAAAGAAGTCCAGAAAGTATATTGCCGAGGTCTGCAAAAAATCATAAAGAAAGGATACAGTAGGGAATACCTTAAAGAATTCAACATTAACTATTTCCAGCTTCTGCATAAGCCTTGCATATTTATCCATTGACCTAACACATACAAGTACATTTAACAAAAAATGATCCAAGGTAAATATGGTAAAGAAAAAGCTGTCATTTTTACTTAAAAGATTTGTCAAACTGCATACCTTAGAAGACAAAGAGATGATCCTGTTTGAGCTGTAAAATCATCACTAGTACTCAGATGGGAAGAAAGACTTCTTGAGCGGCCATGTTTAAAGCTGCGGCTAGGAAGCTGACTATCCTCATCGATAAAATCAGCAAGAAGGTCCTCATTTTCATCTTCAGAAACAGGACTAGCTCCATTCATGCGCCTTACACCTCTCCTATTAGGAGAAACACTATCCTCATGAATGCTATCATTTCCTTCATGATCTCCAGAAGCAGCTCCACTAAACAAATAGTCTTGTTCTTCTCTGTAGTAAGTTAACTTTGCTAAAAAAGGGTTTTCACTTTTCAGCCAATAAGAGAATCCATCCCTATTGGCATTTGCTACAATTGAGTTATTTGATTTATTTGACTGAAGAAATCTGGAAGAAGCAGAGGCTCCGCGAGAAGAAATAATTAGGGGAGCCCCATCCCCCACAAGACCAGCAAAATTAATAGCTTGCACAGTATCAGGTGGAAGTTTAGTCCAAGTCTCCTTATCCAAAACCATTTTAAGTGCCTGAAAGAGGAAAAAAACAAACAAATTTACAACAGAGTATTATGTAAGAGAGGCGATGCATGAAAATGAATAAGAGAGATGTAGAATTGATGATGATGGGCTAGCGGATGCCAAGAGGCTAGACTTACGTGCATGCTTTGCCTGTGAAATGCAATGAAATAATTTTCGCATACACCCTTTAACTTCTCCCTAAAATCAACAGCTTCAACTCCACAGAATGCTTCCCCGGACAGGATGAAGACACTCAGGTCTTCATAATTTTTCAAGAACTGATGAATACTTGTTGAAGAAGCAGCTGGAGAAGAAAGCAAAACAGACACACGACTGGTTGTAAGTTGCCAGAGATTTCTGCGTCCTCTCTGGAGGGTTTCTGACACAAAAGCTGCACCTTCTTTCCGAAGATAATACCATGGCGACTCACTGCTTGAATCAGCATCTCTAGAATCCCTAGCCTCACTTATTCTACTGTCGGACTCTAGCTGCATGGAACTGGAGGTTCCAGTTCCATCGGACAGGGACATGGTTGAGAATTCTTCTACAGTAACTGTACCAGATCCTGATTCTGGGGCTGAAGAGAATGCATCCTGAGGGTTGTAAGAACTGCCTGCCACTACATTAATCTGTTGTGTCGCACCTGAACTTGTAGGGATCAAATTTTCTACCTGTTCCAGTTCAGAGGTTTGACCTTAAAAAATTGAAGATCCATAAGATCCCAAGCAAAGTTGATATCAATAGGGAAGAGAGAGAGAGAGAGAGAGAGAGGCCCAGAAGTTTACCCTTCAAACCAACGTAGAACTAACATAGAGCTTAAATTTTTCTTATGATGAGCATTCATTCGACATGAATTACTCAGGGAAAACAATCCGACTCAACAGTATGTTAAGCGAGAAACCAGAGTAACAGCCAAAAGTCTAACATCCATGATGGAATTCTAAGTACATGATAGCAATGGCAGCAAATTATAATCAGGTCTGCTTCGAGATCAAGACGTCATCAAACCACATAATTGTATGGTTAGAAGTTAAAAAACTACGATAGATTTGCCAAACCAAGTAACTCATAGGCAAGAAGAGATTTGAAAACAAATACAAGAATACAAAAAACAGAAAGCACAAGCAGTTAAGAGAACCCTAGCAAAGTAACAAACAATGGTTAATACAAACTGAGAGCAGGAAATGGAATCTACCTTCTTTTCTGGCTTGAAACACATTATCTCATGATACGAACATATCAACTGAAATAGAACAGCTAGTGTTCTCAAAAGACATTGCCTAAACTTGGGTTCAGGTATCTGAAGACAGAGATCGCTGTAGGTATGTCTGTAATGAAATTAAAGTGTTATCAGATAGAAACATAGATGAATATAGAACCATATATGAATACTGTAAAAGATACCAGCAACAAAGATTATAGAGCATACCTACTATTTTGCATAGCAACATCATTTTCCTGCAAAAAATAATTGGTTATCTACACGTAATATGCAAATAAAGTTCCAGTCATCTATTTATTTCACTACGTTTTCAAGCACTCATAGGCATTAAACACACATTTGTGCTCTCAGTGTCGGTAACAAGCAGCAAAAAACGTTGTTGCATGAGGTATGTACTCATGACATGGCACAGGAAAGATTGCATCTCAGAATATATAGAAATATACAAACCCACATAAAATGCAGGGGCCCATAACTTCACCATAATTATGTTCTCTGTTAAAACAAACTTATTAAAAAAATACATGTACTTCAAGGGTGCTGTACCCCCAAAAAAATCATAAATGAAACTAGTAAATCAGAACATGGTCTTTTCTGCACTAAAGCACCAGTCATGGCATGTGCTGTTCACAACATTACATTAGTCAAATGTACTTGTTGGAACAAAAACAGAGAATTGATTTGTTTCTTTCAGTATTGCATACTATGACTACGACCCCTATTTTACTATCATAAGATTAAGAATTGATTGCTTGAATCATTTAATTTCTATGCACAGATGGATGATGGTACGTGAGAAACAACAATCAAAAGTGTACCATCCTCAAAAAGCTCTGATTCATCCTCTTATCCAAGAATGCATGGTTTACACTCAAATCAAAGAGAAAGAATTCACTACTCAGCTGCATCTTGAGCTTGAATCAATTGAAATTGTGCTAACATACCTCCAAAACATTGGCCTTCAGTACAGAATGGGTTTCTGAAATAACTTCCTGCATAAAGAAGCTTTGTATCTTCTCCGCAAGACCAGAGACATCACCAATCAATGCATAAGCATCGAGTACCTAAAAGCATGAGCATACAAACAAGTGAACCTCATCTCCGAACTAAATTGTTCCTCCCCTTCAACTTAATTGCAAGAAATTCCTCAGAGAAACTCAAGCCAAATAGAGGAAAATATCATCGGATGGTAAGATCCACAAAGTTCTTTTCTTCCGCTAAAATCTTGAATAAGAAAAGAGAGACACAAATAACATGTAGATTAGTTGGTTAACAAACCATTAAATAACTTTCTTCTTTGAACTCCTGGCAAACTCCTAACAACAGTGAATCCAGCTTATGAAGAGTTCTCCCTAGCCAAACCTTGAAGAAAGTTGAAGGAGTTTAGCTGACTATGAGAAAAAATCAAGAAGACAAAGAATAGTAGCTATGAAAAATCTATATTCACCTCAACACCACGAGTCATTTGTTGGATTGCTGAGAATTCAGAAAGACTATCAAGCAGCTGCAAATACTCAGATAGAACTTGAAATGCCTACACAATCACGGAACACATTGAGGTCCCCTGTGAGTTCCCATAGGAAAATAGTATCACCACAACATTTTATGAAAAGAACAAGTAAGAATACAGCAGAAGGCAAAGCAAGAACCGACAACCTTGCAATAGTTTCCTTCCTCAACGAGGGCATCAAGAGTTAATTGCATGTCTCTTGCATGACAAAGCTCTGTTAAAATAGGAAGCATGTCCTGCAAGGGGAAACAATAAAACATTCTTGCTGCTCTAATTACATGTTATCCAGGGAAGCAGAAATGCATGACATACAAAAAAATGTCTTGACAGTTGGACAGCATAGATAGAAATTAAAACTCGCCAGAATTTAGGCACTAGCTAATCAGTAAAAATTACACATCAGATTTGGATCTAAAAGTACTAAGCATATGAAAACCGAACTTTCAGAAGGAAAGACACATCAACAACAACGTCTTAGTCCAAGTTTATTTGGGGTCGATCGCATGAATTCTTCTTCTCCATTCATTTCGATTTTGGGTAAGTCTTCCGAAATTCGTAAACACTGCAAAGCGAGCCTAGGTCTATCCCTATTTCTCTTCTTCTCTCTTATTCCTATGTCCTCTACTTTTCTAACTGGGCGCTTTACATGGCTAAACTACCGTAAACGTCCTACCACCTTAAATGCCCCTCTACATTTTACATAGCAGGAAAGACGAAAGGCGTGAAAATATCCAAGAAAACAGAAACGACCCTACATGTCTGGAAACTAAAGAACTTACCAGAAGGGCTTGTTTCCTTTTGGAATGAGTGTTTACAATGAGATCTCTTGACACCTCGTTCATTGATGAAGTCAAATGTCTTCTTCCATTCTGTCAATAACATTAAACAGCCACAAACAAGGCCACACCGGCAACAGGAAAAATATAAGGGGAAGCCACCAATGCATTTTTCTTAATTTGGGCTAAAGACAATACATATCCTTACCTTGCAGATGACATTCGCAATCTTCAAATCTCTTTCCAATTCTCTAACCAAATTCATCCCCTTCACTGATCAGAAGTGAATATCAATATTCTCAAAGGGTTATGGTCTTCTCAGACTTACTAAAGAGGAATAAAATAGGTTTCACTTACCCAAGTGAAACCTATTTTGAGTACTGTGCACAATTTGCTAACACCATGGCAATAATGGAAACAAAAGAAGATGTGCAATTTATCAAGACCACTTACCCATTACTTCATGATGCTCCATAACATGATGGGACAGATTTTCCGCTACTCTATCCAGCTGTGCCAGCCTCAGGACAGCCTGCACAACCGGTAAAAAATTTCAAACATTTAAGATCCTGCAAAGCTGTTTCCATAAAGCTTCAAGAAAACAATAGCTGTCTTCTGTACGGACTACGGAAACCCTTAGGATATTAATGTCCTGCATTTTTGTTCTCTTAAGATAATTGTCATGGTTTTGATTGGAAAATTGAAGGAAAATCTGGTAGTTGGGGCGGAGGAACATTAAAAATAATACCTGCTTCTCAAAATAAGCAAGATCATTCTCATCATCTGGCACATTCTCCAAAACATGCCTTACTGGATCAAAGTCCTACAAAAGAAATGATGAATTAACTTGTTATTTAGCGATGAAAGGATCACTTGCAAGACTGTCAATATCAAAATATACCAGACAGAAGCACACAAATAAACCTACTTCCTCATAGAATCCTTCTTCAGGCTCATCAACTTCTTGAGGGGGAGGTTTGCGTCCATATATTGAGCTCAGTTCTTTAGAACTTGAAGATATACTCTGATCAGGATGCAGTCCTGCCAAAGCACGAGCAACAGCAGCTGCAGCAGCAGCACGGGCTGGAATCTACAAATGTGTTTATGATAAATTCTCATAATGTACAAAGGTTATATCAAATGGAAAGCCGTATCATTTGATCTTTAAGAGTCTCAATAGAAGATTACTTGATCTAACAGTAATTAGGCTTAGGCATTCACTAAAACAAATCCAAATTATGACCATAATTACCCCCTGGAAGTTGGACGGCTAACAGAGCATAAGATGCGAGGACATAGCTACAGCTATTAATCTATCCTTGGATCAGAAGAATAAAAAGAGGATAGTAAAACCTCCCCATATCATCATCAAGAGTAACAATCTTCTTCTTCTTCTCCTGACTAACCTCACCGGTCAGCTGGATCAGACAAACAAGATAAGAACACGCAAACGCAGTAGCAACTAGAAGACCAGGTGGCAGAACAACAATCTACTTGCTCCAACTCCAAACACAGAACTCAACACAACTAAGCATAAATTCTAAACATCCACACCTCGACATTCCGGTCCTTAAATTAACCTCGACAAAACTCTGCAAATCCCAAAACCGACACGCGTGGGCTTCTTGCCACGCACATTTTGTCACCAATTAAACAGAGAGAACAGCGCAATCAAAACACTATACCTCAGGACGGTCGGAGAAAGAAGCAGAAGGCAAAAGCCCGAGCGATCTCGCGGACTTAACGGAGCTGAAGATCTTTTCGCCGACCTTAGACAAATCCATCCCACCTCCTTGGGACAATAAGAAAGGAACTAAGAAGAAAACCCTAGAGCTCCCGAACCCTTCAGCGCCAAACTCGCTCAGATCCCCGCCATTGAACAGAAATGGATTCCCCAAAACTGTGCCGAATGGGAACAGATTAGGCTGCATCTCATCTCATCTCAACAGTCGATTTCCAGATCAAATCGATCCATCGACTACCATCGGAAACGAGAGCGATGACGACTACGGATTCCAAGAAAATCCGATCAGGAAATGAGTGAAATTTCCGATCAGCCAAACGAGATCGGAAGGAAAAAAAAGAAAATTTCCCCGAAAAACAACAATGGAGTCTCGTCTTCTCCTACTCCTCCTGGGAGTGATGGGAGAGTAGTAGCAAGAACAGATCTACGAGCGATTCCTTTTGTGGGTTTTCTAATTCAACATGAGCTTGACTTTGGGACCTGTGTTCTGTGCGTTTGCCTAACGGTCTGTTTGGATGCCAAGAAAACCAAGAAAGAAAATAATTTCATAACCTGTTTTTTTGTAAATATCTTTGTCTATGATGAATTTTTTTTATTTAGCTGGTTAATTTGACGTTTTAATTATTTATACTAATCATACTCATGATGACTTAATAAAATGGAATTAACTACAAATTAGATGCATAATAAATTGGGTTTATAAACTTAATACAAATATGTTTATGCACATATTATGTATGTGTTAGGCTTATTATATGTTCTATCATTAAAGAGTGTATAGTTCATGCAGATGATAACATTTACATTTAATTAGTAAATTAAAATTATATATGTGTTACACTGAGAATGATAGATTATATTTCTTCCGATTATAAATTTTAATTTACTAATCAGGGGTTATCAGTTTTTTGCATCATTTGTCATGATCCTTCGCTTGATTTCTTTTTTTTTTCCTTATTTAGTTGAGAGGAAGTTTTTCTTTCCTTTTAGTGTAGTTGTAATTTAGGGTTTAACATATAAATTTTCATAAATTTGATCATTAAAGAAGAATGTAAATTGTTGGGTTTCTGTCCAAACTTAAACCAAACATTTGAACTCCGGTTCAACGGTTTATCTACAAAAATGTTCGGTTCGCATTAAACCGGATACATATGCTTCGCTCTGTAGGGTTTAAGCGTCCGATCAATCTAAGGGAAAGTTCTCGGCCAAAAATCTGTTTTCCGAAAATGGCGAGACTGAACGGAATTCTGAGGCAACATCGGAGTACCGTCTCAGTTCTCCAATGTCGAAGCCAGAATCCAGGGCGCATCTTCTTCGCCCACGGTGAGAATCTCCGGCCTCACCTTTCGCAAGTTCCAGCTCTTCGATCCTCCAGTCGCTCTTTCCTCGATTTCTATCAGGTACGGGGAGAATTGAAGATTTCTTTCTTTTTTTTTTCGTTTGATTCCGGAGGAAACACGAGAAACTATAGCTTCAGATGTCCGAGAAATGTTGATTTTTGGTGGGTGTTGTTTTGATTTTGTTGTTTCTTGGCAGCTTGGGAACAAGAAAGCTATTGAGGAAGAACGTGCTAGACTGTAAGCTTCACTTTCTTTAGCTCCCTGATTCTTTCGACATTTGACTCTGATTCAGGATCGAAGCACAAAGTTTCAGGCATTGATCGGTTTAGAATTTACTCTCAATTTCCAGAGAAGTTAACCAGTCGAATTTGATGCGAATTAGGGCAGTAATGATGAGATGAACCGGGGATACTTCGCAGACATGAAAGAATTTAAGGATCATGGCGGTAAGGTAATGGTGCTAGTTCTTTCAATCTGTCTATCTGGGGTTCTGTTTTCTAGGGATGACTTCCATAGGAACGAGCGGGCATTACAATGGATTGTTTCATGAACTACACAGTTTAAACCATAAAACTTATTTGTGTTGCTAATGTTGATCATTCGTTTCATTTTTCGAAGAATCTGCGGACAATTTCGTATGTTAGCTATACATGATTTGGATCATGTTGGTAATTAGGTGAGGTGTTCTTGTTTTCCACTGAAGGCTCTCTATGGGCTTTTGTGAATTCCACAGCTGTTTAGTGATATGCCTTTTACAGATAGCAGCAGCAAATAAGATTCTGATTCCTGCTATTTTACTATCATAAGATTAAGAATTGATTGCTTGAATCATTTAATTTCTATGCACAGATGGATGATGGTACGTGAGAAACAACAATCAAAAGTGTACCATCCTCAAAAAGCTCTGATTCATCCTCTTATCCAAGAATGCATGGTTTACACTCAAATCAAAGAGAAAGAATTCACTACTCAGCTGCATCTTGAGCTTGAATCAATTGAAATTGTGCTAACATACCTCCAAAACATTGGCCTTCAGTACAGAATGGGTTTCTGAAATAACTTCCTGCATAAAGAAGCTTTGTATCTTCTCCGCAAGACCAGAGACATCACCAATCAATGCATAAGCATCGAGTACCTAAAAGCATGAGCATACAAACAAGTGAACCTCATCTCCGAACTAAATTGTTCCTCCCCTTCAACTTAATTGCAAGAATGCTGTGGCGGCCATGAAATTCCCAGCATTAGCAGCGACTCTCTCAAATGGGGAAATTTTGAAGTTGCCTATTATGTCAAACAGCGATGAAGTTAAAACCGAGGGCTCAGCCTCAGCTGTTCCTAAAGTGTCACTAGTGTGCCTGTCTTTTCGAGCAAACTCTCAGGTATAGCATATTCCACTGCATTTTCAAGTTATGCTTCAATGGATATGAAAATTTTTTACCCTGTAATCTGGAAATTGATTTGTAAAACTTCGTAACAATATGTTATATGTACCTGCTCGCACATCATTTGAACACTGTCAAGGCTAATTTAAATCTGACGCAGTGTCATGGAGCCCGATAAAGTAAACTACAAAAATCTGATGCAACATGGTTGTTCCTTTTTTTGACAGGATATGATCAACTCCTGGAGTAATCCGTTTCTTGAATCTTTCAGCAACTCCAAAGATGCTCGGTTATATGAGGTGTCGGTCTTGATTTGTTCATTCCACACGTACAATCTGTTGCTTCTTTTTTCCATTCTCAGCAACTTTATTTTGCAAATCTAGGTTTCATTTGTAGACAAATGGCTCTTGTGCTTGAGCCCTGTAAAATATCTGCTTCTCCGGGTCATGCGAAAATCAAACAGCAGCAGGGACACTGTCCTCCAGAGGCAGATTGCTTATTCATTTGGGGACCATTATTACTTCAGAAAATCGCTTAGAATTCTGAACCTTCTCACCGGGTACTGAAAATCTCCATTTCATCCCGTTTCAGAGTACTAGAGTGTTAATCCCACCAATCTGATTTGCTTTCCTTGGCATTACACAAACATGTTACTCGCAGGTACATTTTCTTACTTGACAAATGCGGAAGAATAAGATGGCAAGGTTTTGGAAGAGCAACTCCCGAGGAAATATCTTCTCTTCTCTCTTGCACATCACTTCTTCTGGAGGATCAATGAGAGGTAACCAAAGAGAAAACTCCGTGTGAAAATTGCCTCTGGGCCAGCATCTTACTCCTCCGCCTATGCAATAGTTCATCTAAGGATGCATATAGGAAGTTTACTTGTGGGATCCTGATGAATGTTCCTTGTACGAATGTGTCTCCTGATGAATGTTCAGGATGCTGCAGATTGCAGCTGACGCGGGAGAGGCCTTGAATCCAACGATTTCTGAAGGACGCTGACACTTTCACTCACTTTTTGCCTCTCTGTTCTCTCTAACAATAAGATCACGTTATGCAGAGCTCTATGTGCTTTGGTCTTTCACAAACCAACATCCATCCAGGTTTATGATATTGAAAAATGTTAAATCAATGAAATGCTTCTCTCGTATCTCTCCGGTGTTGGCGTTGTAAAGTAGTAGAATGAGCCTCGCGTTTCTTATTTCTGGAAGGATGTGTTGATATATACAGACTCCGCGATTTGATTAATCATTATACGAATGTAACCACGCGTAAGATAAGATACAAAATGTTTGCGTAAAAAGAGTTGGAGAATCAAGAGAACTCTTCGATCAAAGGCTGGTAAAACATCCTATAGGCCTCCATGACCTCCAGATACCACATTGCCTCTCTATCTGGCGATGAAGACAGATCTACCATCTTGTGAACCTGATCTCATCACAGCAACAAGCAAGAAAGCAGGACAATTGATAAACCGGCTTAAAAGGGCTTACTGAAAGAACAGAAAACGCCATGATCTGATTTCTAATGATGCATCTAATGAGCACTAAAGTCTTGAGTATAACCCAGAACCATGCCCCCCAATATGCCGCAATTGTTAAACCAGCTTGAAAAGGGCTGCAGGACTAAGAAAACTGACCAGATCAGTAAACAGCTTCGTGACTTTGAACCATTGAGTTTGTATTTTGAAAAGATTCAGAAAGGTACTCGTTAGAGCGTCTGCTATCTTTAACGGCTCAAACAGCCAACACGAGTTACAATCTGAAGCAGATTATCGATCAATGAGCTTCCGCAGAACACAGACAGAAATATGAATGGGTTGCTATAAATCTCCTAAAGAAGCAGCCATGGAAACTCAAAAGAGCTTTGAAGTGACAGAAATGTCAGCGTTCAGAAACCAATTTCCTCAGACCCAACTTCATTTCCTTAAATCTCTACCAATGAAAAGCTCCGTGAACCACATTGCGTTGCAATGAAGGAAATTGATTCGATGCGCATATCACAGAGACATTCGAGCATTTCAAGATGAAAGAGAAGAACCAATAACCTTAATCTGAGGTATATCCCCAGTACGGATATGATACACACCAACAACCATCAGATACATCCCTGCACAAACAAATCCAGACACACACAAAAAAAACCCTCAATCCACAACCTGATTCGGCATTTATGAACTCAAAACCCTAATTAAACCCGAATGGCATCAAACGCGAGAAGAAAACCTGATTTCCATTGACGATTGCCAAACTCGCTGGAAAGACCAAGCTCTACAAGGCCCGTCCCGTCGTCCAGAATCATACGGCTATCGCCTCGACTGTCCGGTGTTGATACCAAAACTCCCTGCAAAGCGCGAAAACGATGTGATTCATTCGTCGAAACGGTGACAAATCGCTTCTATGGACAGCGAAAAAAGAGAGGATTCGGCACCTGAAACCAAGCGCGTTGAAAAAGCACTCCGCCGAGAGCGGCGGCGTTCTGCGACGGAGTGGCTTTGGCTTGCCGGAGCTGCGAGCAGAGCATCTTGACGGCCGCTAAGCTGTAGTCCATTTTTTGCCGGAGCGATCGACTGACGACGAAAGCCACGGTTAGTTTTATCTCCAAGTCGAAGCCTCCATTTCACTCAGAGGCTTGTAAAATCACGGTTGATTTTTCTGGCTTTGTGGGGGCAGATTTGTAAATTACGCAGTCTTCAGCCCAAATGTAGAAACTCTGACAGCGAATTTTTGAATGAAATACAAAGGATGACTTTGTTCATAAGTTTGTAGATTGATAGAACTATATTCAGTTAAATTAAATGTGTAAAATAATTAAAATCCGAAAATTAGAGAGCAAAATCCAAATTATCCATGCACTGTATGTTACAGCTATTTCTGGGCATATGGTATTTTGTCGGCATTTTATGAAAGTTGGAAGAATTAAAATAAAAGCTGTTTGACTACAAAGAAATTATAAATTAAAAAAAATGGCCCACGCGCTCTGTCGGTGCTCTAAATCAAATGATCAATTACTGGCCAGGTCAGCTTCTCTCTCTTTTTGTGTGTGATACTTTCTTGTTTTAGCTCAAAATATTTCATATTTTTTACGATTAGGCTTTCGGGTAATTGGCCATATTTTTTGCCATTTTAAACGAAATCATTTCAGTAATAAAATCGATAGCAATACGTAGTTTAACAAAAAAAAATAGCTTTTATAAAATAAAATTATTCGATAATTATTTTGCCCATTGATGCAAATTAAAAAAAAAAAAAGATGAAAAGAAAGTCCACGTGACGAGCACTGATAGAGCACAGACAGCTCACTGGCTGCGAGGCACTCACGTGAACCAAAGTGACCATCTTTACCCACGCGCTCTCTCATCATCTCAATACTCAACTGTTACCCACGCGCCGTTTATTTTCAAGATATTTGTTTTATTCTTTTTATCAAAACCTTTAAGATTCATAAATTTTTATAGTTTAGGGAGTGGATATGTTTGTTCCAAAAGACATTAAGCATGCTCTTTCCACAGTCTAGTATTTTATATCTCCATTTTTTAAAAATTTCTAGAAATATCAATAAAATAGATTTGTATTGTATGAATCATTCAAGATTTCTTATATTATACTAAGTTATTACAATAAGAGTTATGTAAATGTAATTTGTTATGATTGTATAAGTATATATTTATCTATTTATATATATACACACACACTAGATTTCTTAATGTTTGAGGAAAAGTATATTCCTCTCCCTCATTTCCCCTCTCGAAGGATGCGTCACATCCGATCAAGTTGGTAATCGTCATTAAAAACTAATAAATCTAGTTTTCTTTTGCAATTTTTTATTTGAATCGGGTAAAAAAGTGATACTAATTTAAATAAATTAATTCCACGTGGAGCTATAGTCTCCGGGAGTATATAGCACGCGCCGTTATCGCGCGTAGGTATTGCTCCCACGGGACATATGCCTCCGTTCACGATGCCGCTCTTAAAATATCCACCGTCCGTTTGCCATTTCCATCCGCCTTTCTACGAGACCCAAAATCTCTATCCCTCTTTCTCTGCATCCTACTCCTACAGCCATTGCATTATTGTCCTCTAGAGAGAGAAAGCGATTCCCCAGGATTTCCTCTCCAACGATCGACAAAAGCGTTGTTTGGTTCTTCCGATTTCGATTTTTTTCCCCGGAGAAAATGGCAAACGGAGCCGGTAGAGTGGATCTCGACGGGAGGCCGATTAAGCCGATCACGATATGCATGATCGGCGCCGGAGGTTTCATCGGCTCTCACCTCTGCGAGAAGCTTATGTCGGAGACGCCGCACAAGGTGCTGGCTCTCGACGTCTATAACGACAAGATCAAGCACTTGCTAGAGCCGGACACGCTCCCCTGGGCTGATCGGATCCAGTTTCATCGTATCAACATCAAGCATGATTCCAGACTTGAAGGACTTATCAAGATGGCGGATCTGGTAAATTCCCTCTTTCACTTCGTGCGAATGGGTAGCTGTCTTTATCCTCGTGCGCTAACTCGTAAGCGGAATCAAATTTTGGTTCGTTAATTGGGAATGCTGTTTGGCATTTGTCTGATTAATACTTGCAGACGTAGATCTGTCCCGTCTTTGGAGTTTAAATTCGAATTTTCAGTTCCGCATTTTGCAATCGGACTTTTAGCATAGGTTTTCTGATTCTGTTTTTGGCGCATAGTTATCGTTGGTCGTGTATCTTCTTATGTACGGGTATATCTACCCTCGCGTCCGTCATCTTCCCTCTCTCTCTCTCTCTCTCTAGATTGTTGAATTCTGATGTAATATTGGGCCGCTTTGTTCTGCAGACGATAAATCTGGCTGCGATCTGTACTCCAGCAGACTACAATACGCGCCCTCTTGACACAATCTACAGCAATTTCATTGACGCGCTCCCGGTGGTATGAAACACTTTTGATCAACCGTACTTTTCACATTTTTCTGCGCAGTATTTGTTTCCTGGAGCAGTTGAACGGATTCATGAAATATTTTGTGATGTAATGCTTGGGATGTGATTGTTGTGTAGCTTGTTACCAGTTGCAAATGATTGGTGATGATTTGGTATGATTTGGTTTCGGCATGTAGGTCAAATACTGTTCAGAGAACAACAAGCGTCTCATTCACTTTTCGACCTGTGAAGTATATGGAAAAACTATTGGAAGCTTTCTTCCAAAGGATCATCCTCTACGTCAGGTCAGGGTTTGTTTACTCCCTTTTGCTTTTTCATTATGCAGCCCACCTCTACTTTTCTGGAGGCCTATAAGTGATCAATTTTAGCAATGCCAGGATTTTGAAGTGTGGGGATTTCTAGCTTCTTGCCCCTTACGTGCATGGCTAGAATCTAATTGCTACATTAGCTCTGTTTTGATTCATTTGCTTGTGTCAAGTAGTTTGCACCAGTACTTTAGCTTCTGTAAAATGTTTTTTCAGAACCAGAAGAGTGCCTATTCTCTCGGATCTGTTATTGATTAACCCCTCACGAGGTGTTGCCTGTCTCGTTTTTTTACAGGATCCTGCTTACTATGTTCTCAAAGAAGATGATTCCCCATGTATTTTTGGTTCTATTGAGAAGCAGAGGTGGTCATACGCCTGTGCAAAGCAACTGATTGAGAGGCTGGTTTATGGTAATAAGCTACTTTAACCATCTAACATGCAAGTTTGATTTACCCAGGAAATAAAGTTTCTTACTTTGTTTGCTTCTGATAAAACAGCCGAGGGTGCTGAAAATGGACTCCAGTTCACCATTGTGAGACCTTTTAACTGGATTGGACCTAGGATGGATTTCATCCCTGGTATTGATGGTCCGAGCGAGGGTGTTCCCCGGGTGCTAGCATGCTTTAGTAATGTAAGCTGATCTTCTTATATAAGGATGAGTCCATGTCGCAATGGTATTCTGCATTTATGGACTGCTCATGGATAAGCTTTTACTTTTGTAAATCTTTCAGAACCTTCTACGTGGTGAGCCTCTGAAGCTTGTGGATGGTGGTCAATCACAGAGAACTTTCGTCTACATCAAGGATGCTATCGAAGCTGTCCTTTTGATGATTGTGCGTTGTTACATTGCCAATCCCTTATGCTATTGTGTACTGTTAGCCAAGGAGAAAGCTCCATCTGAAATGCTTTTGCTGTTCTGTACAGGAAAACCCAGAAAGGGCCAGTGGCCATATCTTCAATGTAGGCAACCCGAACAATGAAGTTACAGTGCGGCAACTTGCTGAGATGATGACCGAGGTGAGGAAACCAGATATCTTCGTACCCACCCAATAGGAAAAGCGATCCAAGTTTTCAAATGAATATATTGACAGGTTTACTCGAAAGTGAGTGGAGAGAGTGCGCTGGAGAATCCGACGATAGACGTAAGCTCAAAAGAATTCTACGGAGAAGGATACGATGACAGTGACAAGAGAATCCCAGACATGACCATTATTAACCGCCAACTCGGTCTTGCTAAAACCTTAAAAAACGTCTTGCTGTTATGATTTGGTAAAATAATTCCGATGATTTAAATGATCTTGTTTGTAATGTAGGATGGAACCCGAAGACGTCGCTATGGGATCTGCTGGAGTCGACGTTAACGTACCAGCACAGGACCTATGCCGAGGCCGTGAAGAAGGCCGTGTCCAAACCAATGGCCTCCTAAGGTGGACGAGAGATTTGGTATTATTTCAAAAGAGAAACTGTGGCCTTGAAATAGCCAACCCAAAAAAAAATCATCGGCTCATAACTATATGATTCTTTTCTTTTTCACCCGAGGAACTTTTTCCCGTTTTTTTTTTTTTTTTTTTTTTGAAGCAAATAGGGTATCTTTGATGGTTGATGTTGTGGTATACCTTTATAATTTTGTTTTTAAAATTTTGGGTCCAATCTGTCATCAATGGTGAGGGGGTTTGGGCTCTCCATACTTATTATATCATTTTGGGGGGAACGGACCGTGATCTGTGCCGTCCCGGAAAGAGGATAAAAATGGATTGGTATTTATTTTATGTCTAGTTTTAAGTGATATACGGAAAAGAACAAGTCGCTTTGGCCGAGTGGTTAAGGCGTGTGCCTGCTAAGTACATGGGGTTTCCCCGCGAGAGTTCGAATCTCTCAGGCGACGAGTACAATTTTTTAAGCCCAACAGGACTTATGGGGGGCATTTCCAAATTGTGTGCATATTATTAGGCCTCATTTAAGTTTTTTGCCGTTGCAACAGAAGAAACAAAATAGAGGCAAATAGGAGAGATAAGCAAACCTCTTTTTGTTTGGGTGCATTTCAATAGGCAAATAGGAGGTTTCCAAATTCCAATGTATAGATTACAATGGGCATGCAAATGTAAATAAACCATTGAGAATGTGAAATCGAATAGAAGACTACCAAAATAGGTTGTTGTGTGATTGTATCCCATGCCCAAATGTCGTGGGGAGAACAAAAAATGTCGAGAATATGGAAGGTTTAAAATTAATAAGATAGCGTTTGTAGTCCAACGGTTAGGATAATTGCCTTCCAAGCAATAGACCCGGGTTCGACTCCCGGCAGACGCAAGAAGTATCTTTTTATTTTTCCTATTTTAAATAATGGTTTAATAGATAATTAGTATTATTATTAGCAAAAAGGAGCAGCGGCATTTGCTGGCTGTGGGGTTCGAACCCACGCGCACTTATGTGCAGAAGATCTTAAGTCTTCCCCCTTAACCTCTCGGGCAAACCAGCTTCTTGACGAAGACATTAAATTTAATTAAATAATAAGTGGTGTTCACGTGTCGACATTTTGACAAATAGAACAAATTCAAGATTCCATATGGTCCTACTCCACTCAAATTAGGTCCCATATGATTCCTCTTGATAAATAAATATTCTACTTAATAATAATTATAAAACGAGAATGATAAATTTAAATAATATTCGAACGAAAATAAATGAATTCGAAGAGTATACATATTATAAAATAATTGTGAATGGACATTTCTATCCATACAAAGTTACAAACACACGTATGCATTTTGTTTACGCCTTTTTTTTTCATCAGTATTGGGTCCGCCGGCTCCAACTTTATAATTATAGGGAATTTCAGGATTTGTCCCAACGCTTAATTTTGTATAGCTTAAGAATTTTTTTATTAAAAAAATGGACTAGTTATTATTTAATTTGATCGATATATATATATATAATATTTATATGTATATATGCAGTAAAAAATTTCCCTCTTGGAACATACCTTTTATTTCGAGCTCACTCGTCCAATAATTTCACATATTAGAAAATATCAGGGGTTGGGATATTATCATAATTCAATCCTTGGACTGTTGGAGATGATTGGTGATTTGAAAGCCTCAATAGAGAAAATAATCTATTTCCATAGAAACATGTACAGATTACTATTACATATATGCAGACCATATATATTCATTCCTAAAATTCTATAAATTCAGTAAAGCTAACCTGATGAAGGATTTTCTACAGCCTCAATTTTACATTTCACAATTTTCTTTTTTTTTCCATCCTTTGTAAAAATATATAGTGAAGAAAAAGATTTAAGGGCCCGACTGAAGAACCCTAGGAGCCCATGAACTTGAGCCACTGAAACCCCGTCTTCGTCACCTTCTCCGCCTCTTTCGAGCACGTCGGCGTCGCGCCGCCGTCCGCTGCCATTGATTTTCCAGAACAGAGAAAAAAATTCCTCGATCCCAACGATATCAGCTTCTCGTCTCTCCCGATACCTGTCGGAAAAATCCTCAATCACTGAGCACCGTCTGATCAATCGAGATATCTCACCGAACAAACGGTTCGGATTGTTCTGCAAAATTCGAAGGAAAAATATTTGGGCTTGACTTTGAAAGAGATGAATTACTCTCAAGGCTGAACTGCGAGTAATGGAGATCGAAACGCGATGGCTCCGACGCCGGAAGGAACGGCCGGCGACCTTCCTTGACGTACTGACGGACGGAGGCGGAGATCAGATCGCCCACGGTGGCGTCCGGCAACATGATTATCTGTACGGCGCCTGCACTCCCTTGGACCGTGACGTTAAGCAGCAGCTTCGTCAGTCGCGGAGTCGCCGACGATGACAACGGCGGGGCCAGAGTACCGACGATTTTCCCCTTAGACAGCAACTCCAGCAGTGTTTTCGGTCGCCGGAGCTCCGCCGTAGACGGCGAAGAGATCGTGGACCTACCGTGGAACGACATCGATTTTTCCGGCAACTTACCACGGCGGCTCTTCTCCGACTCCGCTGCACCTCTCCGGCTACCATTCTTCGAGTTGACCGGCATATTATCACACGGAGACAACAATCCTACGATCAAAGATCAAACAGCTTAACGCAGTCGCCGATGTCGGAAGAAGCCGAGAGGGGGGGAGGAGCAGCGGCGGCGGGGGCGGCGGCTCTCGGATATCGGCTGACCAGAAAAGATCATAACCAGAGTGGCACGAAAGGTAAATTAGGAACCAGAGCAAGGGCAAAAACGGAACGATAGTGAAAATGTTGGGAAGAATCAAATTGGAGAATTTTTGAAGAGTTACAGGGAGGGAGGGATTCGGTATTTATACAAGAAAGGAGATGATGAAACCGCTTGGATGTTTCTCACTTTCTTGTGTGAGAGTGACCGGCTATTACAGGTTTCGGTACCCAATTATTCGCATCACGGTGGTATCTGGTCCAGGTTCAACCGGTCAGTCTGGATTCTCCATCCTTAGCCGCAACCATAATCCAATTAACGTTTTAGTTCTATTTCCCACTATTATATATATAAATATAATTATTTCACTTCAATTTGTTTTTATTTACAGTTATTCATCTTAAAGAATTTTTTTTACAATTTGGACAGAATTTTTGGAGTTATTTTTCGTTATTTTTAAGATTTTATACCGCTTTTGAAAACAAGTAAATTAATATCAATTTTGGATCTCAGATTTAATAATGTATCAAAATTATTTAAATTTATTTTATTTTCTATATGGGTATTTATAATGATTTATTAAATTGGAAAAACTACATATTTTTTAAGTATCTCACCTCGAATTTGACGTTTCAAACTCACCAACCAAACAATCTCATGTTATATGCTTAATAATTAAACAATCTCATATGTTTAGGCCCTTAATAAGAAATTGAGTGAATACAATACAAAGTTTTTGGTTAAAAGTTTCAATCATCAGAAAGATATATATTATAGTAAATATTTCACAGTAAAATATGATTGTATGACTAATAAGGTTAATGTTTTGGCTAATAATTGCTTGTAATTAAGATGATTGAAAGTTTTCAGGATATCATATATATATATATATATATATATATATATATATTGTTTATCGGATAATTTCTTTGCTAATAAGTTTCAATCAAATGGTAAATTTAATGGATATTTCCGAACAAAATATTATCATAAAATCAATACTAAGAAGTATTCGTATAAAGTTAAGGCCACCATTTCGACCGCTAATTTATTTGAACAGAATCAGGTGTAAACGTGCGTTATACAGCAGATTTGGATTAAAATTTGTATTAATTGTTACTAATGAAATCTATTTGGAATTATATTATTGTGAAATTTTAAAATATACAATGACGCATGACATATAAAAATATAGATATAATAATTAATTATTTCCTGAATAATTTATGGTTACAAATATTCAAACTAATTAATTTATTTTTAATTTTAAAAAGAGATAACATAAGTGAGGACTTCACGTCACGTGAATCAAAATTCGTTGTTTTTTTAATGATTTTTAAATATTTATATTCTAAATATTTAACATTTAAATATTATTTATATACATGTTTACAACTAAAGAATTTCATTGTGAAACCATTGGGTAATTATCATTTATAAATTAACTTATGTTCCCACATAATTAACGTGAACAGATATATTATATAATTTTTGGATACAGTGTAACCCAACACCAGTGACTAAGAGCCTTATAACCAATAAATATAAGACACGTGGTGTATGAAGATTCGCCGACGTCACCCTCTCGAATTGGTGGGTTATTAGGGTTTTAATTGATCCTACAATATATACTACACATTGCACGAATTATTATGTGTAACAAAATTAGATATTTCGACTGTTGGAGTATACGATTAAAATAACTATACTTAACGTTTCATTACGTGTGCATGTACAGATTAATTTAATAACTTGTCCTATATATAAATATGGTTACAAAAATGCCATTGTCAACACGTGACCGCTGTTTTTTCTTACTATTTTTTGTGTCACGCGAAGATATGTTTGGCAGCAGTTTTGGGTTTATCGTCCAAAGGACACGTGGCAAACAGACAAATCTACAAACATTGTTTCCTCCATCAAATTATGTGATATATATACATATATATATCACATAATTTATATAATTAGCAAGATATTAAACGTGGACAAAGATAGGATTATACGTTGAGTAATTGGTTTTATTTAAAATTTGAATGTTGTTCTGGTTTTTGTTTTTTATTTGTTGGTGTTCTTCAATTTTTTTAAATGAAAATATTGATTTAAATTTAATAAAAAAAAGGTGTCCAGTTTATTTATTTGGTTCACAACTCAATATCGCATCAAAGTATAAATAGATATAAATTTATCAGATTATATAATATACCCAATATAAACGAGACTTTACATATATAAAAATATATATAGATCACATGATTCATTGGACTGATATTTACAAATAAAATGGTTTTCTAGAATTTGTTGAAAAAATTAGATTAAAATACGACCAAACAAATTGTTAGATTTGTTTTTACCTAATTTACGTGTCGACTTAGGGTTTCTGTCATTAGTCTACCAAAGTTTCGGTATTTTCCGGTTTGTAATTGTGGAACCTAAAGGCATATTAACGTATCGGATTCAATTTCTCTGACTTTGACAATTTCTTTTATTAGTTTCCTAAATTAATTTCACTAATGTGCAAATTTAATGGTGTTGGGACACGGCAAAGTCCAAATAAATTGGGAAAGATAATATAAAGTTTATCCATATTTTTTATTTTTAATTGACGTTGGCATGTATTAACTAGTTTATGACTTATAAAATATGTGTTGTATCTCACCATTAATTTGGAAATAATGGGATTATAGGTGGAGAATTTCTATTAGAGTTTTCTGACTTAGATATATAAAATAGTATCAAATCAAATCGAACAATATAATTATTTGTAAATCAAATTTGATTTTATATTATATAATTTTTAAACAATTTAGGAAACTGAAAAGAATTTTTTTTTTTACAAAATATACATTTCAAATCAAAATTGAATTTTAGTGGAATCTAAACTAAACCATAAAATATAATAGTTATTTAAAAAAAAATCGAAACTAACCCTAAATTATCCGTCCCTAATAACTATATAAATTGAATTAAATGATATATGATGCTTTTCAGTATCTATAAAATATTTCAGTCCAATGAAAGTTTCTATAAAAAAATAAAATACGCATCATATTGCCATAATTTTAGCTTTATAGGTGATAAGGATGTAAACTAAATAGCCAAACATCAACAGTGATCATGGGAAATACAAATTATCTTCCATACGATTGTTAAATAAAAACAATAACTTACACTAAAAATTGGTTATACGACTTACCCCCCCCCCAAAAAAAAAAAAGAACAGTAATTAATTTCATAACCAAAAAAACACCGCAATTCTTACCTCAAAATTATAAAATAATTGTTGAAAAGCATGCATGGATTCTGCACTTGGTGTTCACTGACATGACGTCATAATGACAATAATTTAAATATATCATTTGTCTGCATTTTACGTTTTTTTAAAATATAATAATATCATTTTCCATATATAAGATGATCAAGACATTCTTGATGGGGAGATGGTAGAGAGAGAATCAATTATTTGATAACGAGGATTCGTGGGGTCATTTGGCCCATCAATTTAATTGGCAAATGCATATGTAGCATGCATAAAATTCTGAAGCAAAAGAAAACTCTATGCAACTGTACACCAATAACCAAAGGAACCAAGTTTTTTGTTACAGGATGAAATTAGTTATGTGATTTTTTTTTAAAATTAAAAATTTTACATAAACGTTCTAAAACGTACTCCTGAAAATTATTATTATTATTTAATCCTGAAAATTTTTATTATTAATATATTTGACTGGTTTGACTTGTTATTTTATAAATATTATTATAACTTTGCTAACGGGTGTATTATATTTTAAAGAATATAACGGAATAACCATGTTTACTTGTATTTTTTTTTATTAGTTTTAAAATATTTGCAAAGTTGAGATGGCCGAGTTGGTCTAAGGCGCCAGATTAAGGTTCTGGTCCGAAAGGGCGTGGGTTCAAATCCCACTCTCAACATAATTTTATTATTTTTTTTCCTTTTTTATGTTTTTCTTTGTTGGTTAGGTTTATTTATTGTTCTTTTTACAGGCAAGTTAAACCAAAGGATCACACGAGTATAAAAATTATATTAAAAACATATTGATGGGAATAAAATATGTCTTGCTATATTCAACAACAAATCAATTGCATAATTAAATAAATAAAATAGATGGATTTATCTCTCGATGGATCTTCTCAACTGAAGTAATCATTCTAATAATAAGAATAAAGTTTTTGTGCTTGTTCCAAATAATAAGAGCAAAATTCATCAAAATCCTATAGTATTTGAGTTAAAAACACGTTGACAATTTAGGTGGAATAGCGAAATATGCACTTGAATGAACATCAGACGTACAAAAGCATCGATCATAATCTAAACCTTACAACAAACAAATTCCCTTAGTCACCCAAAATCTCTCCAATTCACAAACTTGCGACCCAAGAAAGTTCCAACGTGCTGACAAGAAACCAAAAAAGAAGATGTTCTCATCAACTATTTACCCATTTAGCTTTATAAGAAACTTACATCAATTTCCAAATTATATATATATATATATATATGTGTGTGAATTCAGAGGCCGACCCATTTGACCCATCTGAAAAACCGACCAACCCTGAATGGCAGCTCGTAGTCTTTGGCGAGGGCGGGTTCTCTGGTTGCAGTCTCATGGTCAGACCAGACATAAACTCCACGTTCTTGCATGCTTCCTGGTACTGTGTTGTCTAAGATGAAAGCCACGATGAAAGCCACGACCATATTCATCGATAGGAGCGTGTTCATTACGTAGTTCACCTGCCAACAAACAAACACAAGAAATCTGTCTAAAAACCGAAAGCTCATTCCTCACCTGAATCTCTTATGGTTAAAACTCAGATTTTGATCATTTCACATCTATTTCAAGTGTAAAGACACACCCTTTTGCTACATTCATCGAGACCAGAATATACTTATCGGTTCTAGAACCCCGCAGGAACAAAAGGCATGAACCCGAGTCAACTAGTTTCATGTCCATAAATATCAATCCGAGAGAAATGGATACATACCCCTTTATATTGGCTCTTGAATGGTCCATGTGAAGCCACAATGTACGGTTGGTAATAACTTGGAACTGATATATTCGAGTTTGGAGAAATGCCGTACTGCTGGAAGTAAGCCGGGACAGAAAGAGAGAAGAAGAGCGATAACCCGACAATGATAATATTCCTTGAACTCCCGGCTTCACTGTAACGTAGATTGGAAAGGCCTAAAGCTGTAAGCATCGCCCACATAAAGCAGAGAAGGGATGCGACCATGACTTGAGGAATTGATGCAATAAACCCTCCAACTTTGCCTGTGGATAGTAGAAGTTTAAGAATATACTCAGAAAAGAGAAAGCTTCAAGATGGGACAGAACAAACAATCCTCATCTCTATAAAAGAGCATTTCATGTCTAGTTACTTATTTATTTGCTGATAGACTAGCGAAAACCGTGAAGTTTCTACAAGTTTTACAAGAACTGTATTTTCAAGAATGAAAACAATGATTAAAAAAACTATAATTGGAAAGAACCCATGTACTGCAGATGAATTGAGATAATTCTACAGAGAAAGAAACTACGGAACTGAACACAAAGTACGAAAAAATCAATGGCCACTTACCAACAAGGGATAGGAAGACCAGAACACAAGCACCCAACTCCACGGCTCTACGGCTCCCCATTTTGGAAACAGCAATTGTGTGAACATTTTCAGTGACGGTGGTTGAACCAGTGCCCGTTCCCCAGAGACCGGCTAAGACACTTGTCAGACCTTCAAGACCAATTGCCCGGCTAACTACACCAGGAGTTGGAGGTCTGGATGCTACTAGCAGAGACGAAGCATGATATGAACCGATCTACCATAGTGAAAAAAAAAAGAACAAAGAACAGAGATTGTGGATTAAGGTGGTTTTGAAGACAAAACCCAGTACCTGACATGCTAAAATATTATTCAACAGTTCAGTTAAAGAAGATAAGAAACACTAACCGAGTCTACCGAAGCAATTATGGACGCCACACACATAACAAGAGCCATTTTCCAGCTGAAAACCGGAGTGCCCCATTGCAAGGGGTAAGGGAACCTAAACCAGGGAGCAGATCTCAATGCATGAGAAGTATCAACCCGACAGTACTTCATTCTAGACACATGGTTCCTACAGTGAGTTGATACTATGTTTGAGGCAGGGATGTTCGGGTCACAGCTCTTGTAGTTGTATGCTCCTGCTGCCGTTAATAGAAATGTGGTCGCCCATGTGATTGCCAGAGCCAATGGAACCTGTCGGTAAAAACTTTAATTGGTCATTCACAATTACATGCCAAAGGTAAAGTGTCATGTGATTGGTTGGAGTTTGATTATCTCAAGCCTCTTTTCCTTGTCAAAAAAAAAAAAAAAAAATCGGTCTATCTAATATGGTTTATTATTTCATAGCAATACCACATTATTAGGGTTAAAGTGCTCCAACTGAAACCTGAAGAAGTCAGAACTTACCGCATAAATAAGGAAAACACGATGACCCAAAACCGAGATCTTCCGAAGGTACTGCATAGATATTTGCATCAAACTTGTCAAGTATCATTCACATTATCATGAAGCAACTTGCTCATGTGACATGACATGATAAGTTTACCTAACTTCATAGGAAAGAGAAATATAAAACGTAATCCAGACAAATCAACTTGTGTGGACAGTCTACCTAGAAAGATGCATATGTCAGACAGGTTTATCGTAACATCACAGAACTTACAAGAGCAAAAATAACCACGAGCAGTATCTGCATTGCCCCAATCTCAAGACATTTACCAACAAGAGGAAAACCATAGCTGTAAAATGAAAGTCCAACGGCAGCCACTGTTGGAGCAATAACCACTGGATTAATCAACCTGAGTGAAGGGAAAAGAATCAAGACATAAAAATACAGATCAATACATAGCTAGAAGGATTTGGCCTTGAGAAAAGCAAAAATATTAAGAATTGTACCTCAAAAGCAGCGACATTAGACCACTGTATCCAAGTAATGCTTGGAAAGCTGAACCGATAATTATAGCACCTTGCAGTTCCCTCATAATATGCTTGAAGTTCTGCAATATTAACAAAATTACAACACTAAAGCCAAACCTTTCAAAGGTTAAACCAGAGAAGCGCGACCACAGAGCCAGAGAAAAATCTCCATGGATACCCAATTTGGAAAAGTCTCACAACATTTCTCGACTAAGGACATAGTTAAGGCCGAGAGCAAAAGCATAACCACATGCACAAATTGAGAAACAGAGTTTGCCATATACTATGGTATAGTAGATATCTTTTTGATGATGAGTCCTAGTTTGAAACTCAGTGAACATTGCTTCAAAAATTGAAGGAGAGCTACAACAGACAATTCTTTTTGAAACATTTACACCATACACCTAAAGGCTAAAGCCAATGAATTGCCAAAATTAAAGGATAGTCTGTCCATTTACAAAACAGAAATATGATTCCGACAAGGCAACCAACTTACCTATTGGCTCCTTACGCCAAACTCAGTAAACGACATCTATTACTATATTAGCATCTGTATACTATAAACAAAATGACACAGAGTAAAAATGCACACACAAAAAAACATTTAAAACCAAGGAAACATCAATAAAAAGAAATACATTCTTTAGCGCACACAAAAAGATGAGACAGAGAATTTGCACTTACGTTTCCGGTCAGTCCTTGGAATTCCGGGGAGTTTACAATAGCCAGAGCCGGAGCCAGGTAAACAAAGGAAGGACCTTGAACCAGAGGCAGCCTCGACCCGAATGAAGTATGCAACAAAGTTGTGATTCCACAAACAAAGAGTACAGTGGAGACAACATTAGCCATGTCTTCCTATACATCAATAATAAACAACAACCCCAAAGAGATCATTATACCATACTGTTTCATTACATATAGAATTGATCCAAATGGATAGAGAGGAGGGTAACTTACGTGAGAACCACCCATTGCAGGAACTATGACCAGTGGAACGAGAATCAATGAGCCTAACATTGACAGATAATGCTGGAAACCATGGAACCCAATGGAAACTGAAACAAGATACAGAACAAAACATAATCAGTCAACTACAATTGCCATAGAACAATCACTAAACATGTGACATAAAAACATCAAGCCAATTTACTAGCTTGTCAATTTTCAGACACGAAGTGAAGCGAATAACAATGAGATAAACCTCACCAAGCCCAGGTGTGTCTCTGAGTCCATACTTCATGTGCAAAGTCCTAGCGCCCAAGTCATCATCCATGCTCTGCGGCAAAACCTCCACCGTCTCCTCATTCCGGGTCGGTCTCCTAATCGGTTCACCCGATCCGTTTGCCCCGCTGAATCCGTTCGCCGGAGCAACCGGTCCCCGCTCCTTCCCCGAACCTCCGTCGGAATCTCTCCGCCTCTTCACCGGCTGATCCTTCCCAGAAGCAGTAGCAGCCGCCGGTAGATCATTTGTCTGCATTTTACGTTTTTTTAAAATATAATAATATCATTTTCCATATATAAGATGATCAAGACATTCTTGATGGGGAGATGGTAGAGAGAGAATCAATTATTTGATAACGAGGATTCGTGGGGTCATTTGGCCCATCAATTTAATTGGCAAATGCATATGTAGCATGCATAAAATTCTGAAGCAAAAGAAGCGGAAGCAGGCAACGCGACCTGACCAGAATCACTGGCATTGGTCTCGCCGGAGAATTTGGGGCGGAATCCGGTGCGTTTAGCCCAAGAAGACGGCGGCATTGGGGAGGACTCCGGCGCCGGAGGCCATTGACCCGGTTTGGGTCTGGGTTTCGGGTCAGAGCTCGACATTTCCCCGTCTACTTCCTCGTGGAATTTCTCAGCGGCGCATACTTAGCAGGTTCTACTCTAGATCTAGCAAATTGTCACCGTTTCTTTGTATTCGCCGGAAGATTTCTCCTCGGCTGGAAGAGTGAGAAAGTAAACGAAGAAATGGGGATTAGGGTTTTCTTCAAGCAGCAGGAAAGAAGAGTGTCTACTTGTGAGAGCGCGAGCTTCTATGGAGAAGCCAGAGAGAGAGAGATCGCTAAGATAATGGTGGTGGATTTTCAATTTCACGAAGAAAAACGTTGCTAACAAAAGAAAAAAAATCTAACATACAAATTCCAACTATTTTTTATTCTCAAAATCTAAACACCCCGACATGATCGGATGATGTCATAAACCCCCTTTTGGATTCTGTAATAAAGAAAACTCTATATAATAAGACCAAAATAACTCATCATCATCTGCATTTAATGTTTTTAACATTAAACCGACACAAATATTTCCTACAAATACCGGAAAATAGATGGTATAACATAATGTTTTTTCATATTAATGAGAGTAAATATGCCGTATTTATGGATCTACTATAAAATTTCAGTTGTAACAAAAAAAAATAACACTAAAATTTCCAGACCCAAAAAAAATATATATTTGGCAATGACACGTGAACTTAAGTGATGCTATCTATGACATCAACGGCATTTACTCTACTAAATAATTCATGGTTTGTAGTTTTAAATATTAGCTAAATAAACCAGTTGTAACAAAAATAAATATTAGTTAAATTAGTTTTTTTTACAATATGAAATCAATATAATTTTTTTAAAATAATAAAAAATCAAATAAACTTTTTAACTTATATATTAAATTTTGGTCTAATTTGAAATATATTTGGATTCCATCTTATATTTTCTAGAATGATTTTATACAAAGAGAATATATTTTTTGAACTCCCAACTAAACAATTCAGGTGACACTACCAAGACTACTATCACACACCTTTTACGAAATATGTCATTTTTTTTTCTAAGTTATGTAAAAAATAAAAAGTTTAAGTCAATGTAAATTAATTTGAAAGATTTCAAACTATTAATAGTTAAAAAACTGAAAATATATAAGATGAACATTGGAGACACGGCACGTACAATGTATTCTTATAAAGAACTCTTGGGTAGCTCTAAAAAAACTAAATAATTATATAAAAAAAAAGGTAGTTTTAATATAATGCAACATATTTTTCGGATTTATGACACAAAGAAAAATCGAAGAATATTAGATCGATTAAATTAAATATCGAAAATTAGATTACAGAAGATGTAAGCTGGATAGAAAGTGAAAGTCTTTGGCAGTGTGAAAGTGAAAGGATATGTGGGTTTGTCTTTGTCTGGTGACACGTGTACAATGCCCATGCTGGCATGAGCTGCACTTCATAATAATCCATCCAATAACTTATCTTCTTCTTCCAATAAATTGAATGATTCGAATCCTCATCCGAGTAAATATATGGTCTGTATATACTTCGAGATTTAAATGCGTGCGTGCATGCATGCAAATCCATAATCATTTGGTCACCTTGAATTTTTACAAACGTTAAATAATGTTTTTTTCAAATCGAATTATCTCTTTACTTTATTCTATACAGAATTTTACCCATAGATTATAAAATAATAAACAAATATGAAAAGTTAGATTTCCCACAACTTAAAAAAAAAATAGTCGTTTCGTAAAGGGACAGAAAAAGGAAACTAGAAAGGATTGAAGAGAATTATAAAAACGAAAATTTGTAAAAAACAAAGAAATATAAAAACGGAAAGAAAAGGGAAGATTTTAGGTAAAAGATTCAAGGAAAAAAAAAGGAAAACGGAACAATATTAGCTTGACGAGAAAAAAATAAATAATAAAAGAGACGGAAATAAAAATCTATTAAAAAAATAAGTTATAATTGAGAATCCCTACAAATAAGTTCTAATAGCCGAACCCCGGACCGTACCGGCCCGGTTTAATATGTTCTGGGTTTTATTAAATGCGATTGGACCGGCGGGTCCGGCTCAGTTGTAAAAACCTAACAGTCGATTAACGGATCGGCAAAAATGGCAGCACTCGGCGTCGGCGGAAGGTCTACGCTTCTGGGTCCGATTATCAGGGCAGCAACGGGACGAAGTTTGATCAGACCCAGAGCCAGATTCTCCGTCCCAAACCCTAATTCGGCATTTGCTCGGCCGATCACTTCTTCTGTAATCGAAGCCTCTGCTTCCAGGTCGTTCCTCGTCTTCCTCAGTTTTTTTTTTCTTTTCTGTTTCCTGGATTCGACTCTTTTTTTGTATTTGATTTGATAAATTTTGGATTTTTTTCTGGGAACCTGGAAGGTTTTTGCGGCGAGAAATGAGCACCCATCATCCATTTCACAGCGCCATTGCAGCTGCTTGCCTCGTTTCGAAGCTCCCCTCTGATGTTACCGCTTCCTATGAAGGTACTTGTTCTTCCAGTTGATCAATTTGGCATGTGCGCTCGGAAACGGTTGTACAAATTAGATTGTTGATTAGGGTTTTAGATCCTCGAATAAATGTTTAAATTTGCGTTTTTGCTAAGAACCCAGGTGTTAGTCCCGATTTTCGAGCTTTTGATTAGCTGAATTCGTTAAATTATGGGATCAGAATTCTGTAGTGTTGCTGAGATTGCCATTTATTGGTGTTATCGCTCTCTCTACAGCGTCTTTGACTGTTTGCTGCTATCATTTGTCTGAGAAATTTTTTATTGTAACTTCTTAGGCTATGGCCTCTAACATCATAGAGCCACAGGGAGGGAGTTTCAGAATCTTCTGAAAAGATTTGTGCTGTTTATTTGATTGATCTTGGGAAGTTGATCTTTAATTTCAGAGAAAGAAAGAAGATGTTAAGGAGAAGGATCAAGGATCTTTCGTTCTGATTAACGCTTGTCCATTGGCGGCAGGTAGATTTGCAAACTATCTCAGCCCCATCTAGAAGCAACAGCTTTCCAAGATTAATGGCTCCTTTTTGCCACCTCTGGATTGGATTTCGGTGGTTTCAAGAGATGGAAATTCAGGCTCAAAACGTGTTTGGAATACCCATTTATCAGGAAAAAGAAACAAAGAGAGGTGTTGTTATTTTGGTTTATGGATTAGGCAAAGATGATTCTTGCGTGTGGATTGGAGATTTTCATGAATAATCTGCCCGTCCCCAGAAAAAATGTTGCAGTTTTTAAGGTAAAATAAGGTTTCTGTATGGTCTGAGCCATATAGCTTACGAAATGACGCCTTTGATTACGGGCATGGGCGCCCGGGTCAGCTTTTTGTTAATGGGATGACCCGGTTACCAAAATCCGACCCGGGTCAAGGTTTGATCCATGTTAAAGATGAATTTATATGTTTAATAAATAATATCATTTGTAAGCTAATGTTTTTCCACCTACTTCCTGTTTTTTTTTTTTTTATCACGGCTCCCAAAATTAATTGAGATACTTGTACATATTTAATATAACTATTTTGTAATTATTTATCCGTTGTGTAAGACCTTTATTGTGGAGCATATTATTCTATACATGATAAATTGTTATGCCAACTAACGACATACCAAAAAACAAGGACTAGATTCTGTTTGTTCGTCCATTTCACTTTGGTTGTTTATGATGTCTTAAAGTCTCATTTAATCCTATATGTATATATGTACGTATATGTGTACTGTATATATATATATATATATATGGAGAAATGGAATATATATACACACACGAATATTCCTAGGAAATATTTATTTTTTCGATTTCAAAATTTATGGACCTATGCATTAGTTTTGTTTTTGGGACATTCTTACGTGAACAATAACTAATTTAATTAAGTTTGGTCTCGAAATAAACAATTTCACGTATAAGTTTGGGAAGTCAATAAATAGAAGAAAAAAAATATGGTTTTCATTCAGTTTTTATTTATGGACCATGTTGTATTATGTATACAATATATATACGTTCATTAATAAGGTTCAAGTTGTGTCAATGGTTGCAAAGTAGATTCATTCTCTCCAAATGCCCATTCTCTTTCTCCATAAATATATGTGTTACACGCACGCATATCAATATGTATACATATATATTATTGTGTTTATATATAGAGGGTATAAGATCCATTTGGGAGGATATGAAGAAACTATGTGCTCCTATGAAATTAATATATAGTTTTCAAACACATATAGCATTTTTTTTATATTGAAAGTATTAATAATAAGATAATGATATATATTAGTTATGGGATTAAACGATGCGCTTTCTACGCATGCATGATTAGGCAGGTAGGGTGTTTTGTAAAAAAAAGCAGGACATCAACCATTATTACAGATAGAACCTTATGTACATGTACATGTACATGTACATATACGTATACATATACATGGCCAAATCCACGCGTCTCTAATTCTATGAAAAATAAATCTCATTCCAACCTTCTCTTAGATACTAAGAACATTTCAAATATAATTTATATATGTCATGCATGACGCATTCTACCACGTTATAAAAAAAACAAAAAAGTTTAAAAAAATATATAAATTAATATAAAGTAGCTAGCAATCCTATTTCTATTCGAGAGAACTGGTCGCGAAAAATCTCATATAATATTCGAATCCAAATGATTTCGGATTGAATTTAGATCGAATCAAACTATATAGTATATACAATCATATATGTTTTCTACCTTGTCAAGAGGACCACCGCGACTACATATACAAATTAACTGCTTGAGTTGTACACATCCAACATGTCACATTTATATATTTAGTCTTGTTATTGACTTACAAGCTGTAAGTAAAAGTAGTACATCTAGAAAAAATATATATATATATATATATATACATACATGCAAAATTATGGTATGGTAAGGTGATGAATTTATATATACAAAAAAAGATTTTGGGTGTAAACGAGAAAAGACAACATTGACTTGGTTCCTAAATAGAGGGAGAACCACAATATATATGCATTAGAACCCTTTTCATATACATTGTTGTATGGACCCTATACGATACCCTCCCCACCCGGTAGGGGACCTTCCCCTATTACCCCCTTTTAGGGTTTACAATTTCTTGCCAAAAATCTTCACCCTCTCCTCTACTTCTTTATTATTATTATTATTATTATTATTATTATTATTATTATTATTATTACTATTATTATTATCCATGTATTCCCGCATGGGGGTTTTAACCCTAATAACCCACTTGGGTCGCAGCAATTTCAGGGTACACCACCGAAAAAAAAAAAAAATTTTGCGACCTTATTACGACTAATATATAACTAATATACAACTAAAATAAGAGTAGTTTATTAGTCGTAATAAGTTGTATATTAGTTATATATTAGTCGTAATAAGGTCGCAAATTTTTTTTTTTTTTTCGGTGGTATACACTGAAATTGCTGCGACCCAAGGGGGTTATTAGGGTTAAAACCCCTAATCTTTCCCTCCCAATAATCCAAATTTGTTTCCCCACTTTCCCCCAAAATTCCTTCGCGTATCTCAATTCCGATTCTCATGTCGGGTATCAATTTTCTCACCTTTTTTTCCCCCAATCGTGTACTGAAATTACTGCGACCTAAGTGGGTTATTTGAGTAATATTCCCGCATGATCATTCATGGTCATGGCCATAGTCATAGTCATGCTCTCCTGTATTGTAATTCCCAACCATATATATAATAAACTTCTTTCAATACTTGAAAACTAACTATTCGGATAAAAAGCTCGAAATTGAAACGCTTTGTTGTTCGACTCACTTTTCCTTTTCCTTTTTTTTTTTCTTTTTTGGTTAGACTTTTTCCTCTCTTTTCACCAAATTCTTGGGTCATTATCCACTACACTTTTTTTAAATGTTTTTTTTTTACTCTTTTCATATTTTGTGAGGAAAAAAAAAGAATTTCTTAATTTTGGGAATAAGGAAAAAAAAAACATGTCAAAGTTCTCTTTGAAATGTAATTTGATCCATAGCTTTTGGAATTCAATACTTCGCCTGGGGTGCGGATTACATATACATATATATATATATATATATGTGTGTGTGCATATGTATATGTATATGTATATGTGCATAGTGCAAGATATCATACATATACAATGACACGTAACAAAGCAAGGATGTACGTAAATGTAATAGACTCATGTGATTGCATTGATTTCGTGGTACCTTCTTACTACATACAATCACATGACTTTTCAACTTTGAAGTTTTTATCGATGCATTATTTTATATGTTTAATGATCCCATCTTCAAAATGAAAGTTTAAATTTCAAAATATTGGTTAAAATTTGGGTATTTAAATGAAAAGTTAATTATATAAAAACTCAATTTTTTTACAGATTTGCATATATATATATATACACACACATACACGCATATACACAAAGATATCTAAGCATCAATACATGTAATAAATGGACCAAAGTTATCAATTGCTAATGCCCATTTGCATAACTATTTATACGAGGCAATGTTATTCATATCATATACAAAACTAATTATATAAGAAATTGCCGAATTTAATGCGTGCATATGTGCACTACATTTGGTTGGATTCCATACTTTTGCTTGGGAATTTGATTAACTCGGTGGTTTTTAAATAACCTAAGCTTTGACCCCTTCACAATATATATAACACAACAACCGTCCCAATTTATGGTTGACATTTCAAAAAAAAGCTATATATGTATATATATATATTGATCTAAATTACCTTTACTAACAAAATTGAATATTCATGTTGTTCTAATTAATTTGTATAAAATTAATATCAATTTTAATAAAATCAAACAAATATTTTATATTATTATTAATATTCTATTTTTTTTTCTATATCCACGCCTCCATATATGTTCCATGTGAAAGCCTACGGGTATTTTGCACCATTTGGTGGGTCTACCAATACAAATACATAGAATATACGTATGGTCAGTGCTATGAACCATCATCATCATGCTCATGCCCATGACCTAACATTAAACTATTTAGCAGAAGTCGACCTACCATACAATTAAATATAATTAAAATTAGATTTCGATATAATTAATTATAATCAGAAAGCTCCAATTTAAGTGCATGATATCTGTACTCAGATCTCCATACGTTAGTTGGACTGCCCCCTTCCTAAGCTTTGTAAATTTTTAATTTTATCATGACATAAAATTATTATTTCTTTTCATTCTAACAGCAATAACGAACACACCAAAAGATGACATGCTTAATTTATTCAAATTGTAATTAAAAACTCGTATTATGCTTAATAATTAAATAAATCTCATGGTCTTCTTCTCGACTGTTTAGGGAACCGGAAATTAAAGAATCCAGAGGACAGGAAGACTGTAATTAATTCCCAATTTATTCAAAAATATGCCACATGATATTTTTATGGTTTAATATATTATTATTACATACTATAAATATTTAATTAAATATTTTAAGGCTGGTGTTACCAAAACCCATGATTATGTCACGTCAAACAATGCGACCGTGTCATAACTTTTATTAATATGAATTTTTTTATATTTTTATGGTTATTTCCTCAACTTATTTCTTAATTTTATCTTGTAGAATAGATATGAACTGGCAAAATGGATATAACCAAAGAAAGACTCATATGCATCTCTGCGTATATGCAAACAAATATTTAACATTAAAATTTCCCGATCTTATTACCTAAATTTGGCCAAGATTTATTCGTATGTATTATAATTATATTTCATTAATTTCTATTCAACCGTAAGAAACTATTGCCATATGAATACTTTCCTCTTTCTCTCTCTCTCTCTCTTTTTTTCTGCTTCTACAAATTTTACATTAGCTTCCTTAAAGATGAGTATTGAAAACAAATTATTCGTGGTAATTATGATAATTTTCCGTGTTGAGAGATCTTTAAATGGAATCCCTCCGGTTAGTAAGAGATTGATATCCTCTAATTATATAATCAATCAAATAGCATTAAACATTTAATTTAATTCATTTTTTATTCGTTTATTTATCCCCCAAGAGTAAAGTCCGAAGGTACTTAACTTTGCCCTCCCCATTTCATCTGCAGTCTGCTCTGGGACAGACCCAAAACCATCTCTCTCTCTCTCTATCTCTCTCTCTCTCTCTCTCTCTCTCTCTCGTCGGAAGAAGAAAAAGAAGCAAAACCCATATTCAGATTTCAATTTCCTCTGAAACCCAGATCGATTTCGTTACTGTTTCTTATCAAAATTTCATCTTTTAGTTACCAGAAGAAAAAAAGCTTCAATATTTGGTGTTATTGTTCTGTTTCTTCTTCAGTTTTTCCCTTTTGAAACCTCGGATGCTCTGCAGAAACTCTGTTTCAGAGCGTAGAACAATAGCCCAGACTGAGCTTTCAGATCTTTGAACAACCTTTTTTTTCTTCCAATTTAAGTTCATTTTTCCCCTAATTTCTTCCCCAAGAAAACCCATTATTCCCTCACATTTGAGGTGAGAACCCAATAAAAATGAGAGATTTGGTGTCATGTTTCAGCGAGAACTCGATCAACGTGACGAACCCATCATGCTCAAACTACAGCAGCAACGCTTGTATCTCTCCAGATTTGTCGCCTTCTGTTCAGACCTCCATCACAAGCATCTACAGAATCACATTAGGATCATCATCACCATCATCGCCTCGTAAACATGTGTTGATCAACGTCACCTGGTGCAAGAACAACACCAATTCCACCAATCATGGCCTCAGCATCGGCGTTTTCTCTGACGAGAACAACCCTTCAACGTGTCTGAAACTGAACACAACTTCCCGGTTCTTCCGCAAGAAGAAAGGCACCAAAGTCCTGGAATCCGATCTCGGGAAGATCGAGGTTTTCTGGGATCTTGCCGCGGCTAAGTACGACAACCTTGGAGGACCCGAGCCTGTTGAAGGTTTCTACGTCATTGTACTTGTTGATGCGGAATTAGGGTTAGTCCTCGGAGATTCTGCAGAGGAAGCTCTCTTCAAGAAACTGACAAAGGGTTCATCCGACGATTTCTCCTCGGCGATTTCCAAGAACTGTCTGATCTCCCGACAAGAACACTTTTCAGGGAACACCCTTTATTCGACGAGGGCTAAGTTCGCGGAAACAGGGGTTTTCCATGAGATTCTGATCAGATGCAGCGGAGAGACAGAGGGTTTGAAACATAGCACCCATAATGGCCATCATCATCACCATCACCATCATCATCCTGTTTTGTCGGTTTGTATCGACAAGAAGACGGTGATCAAGGTGAAGAGATTGCAGTGGAATTTCAGAGGGAATCAGACGATTTTCTTGGATGGATTGTTGGTGGATCTGATGTGGGATGTCCATGATTGGTTCTTCCGCAGCAATCAAGAGAGTTCATCATCGCCTGGAAGTGGAAGAGCCGTTTTCATGTTTCGGACAAGAAGTGGAATGGACAGTCGGCTCTGGTTGGAGGAGAAGATTGTGAAGAAGGAACAAGACAACCTTGACTTCTCTCTCCTCATCTACGCATGTAAGACCTAATTTTTTTTTTTCATAAAAAACAATTCTTTCCCATTCTGCTTGATTTATGGGTTTGGTTAGATTTTCATTTTTTTTGGAGTTGTGATTTTATATTGGATTTTTTCGGAAATGTGAAATTTTTAGGATTATTTCTATATTGATGATTATTTTTTGGTCTCTTGATCCAAAAATATTATACATTTTAAGTCGAACAAATCTGTATAAATATGTAATTGCTTGGCAAATATGACACAGCATCACCATACACTAGACATGAATAATAATAATAATAGTGTGATGGTTATAAAATTGAAATACTTTTTATTTTCTTAAAAAAACAGTAACATAAATAGGTGAAATTTGGAGGGGAGATGATATGGATTGCATGTGCTGTGTGCATATGGGCGCTCCTGTAATGATATGCTCGAAGTCTCTTTTAGAGGACAAAAGGGTTAAAAGAAAAGATGAGAATCTACTCGTACTACTGTTGCTTTTCAACATGAAAAATCACAGCATGAAGCGAATTATATAATTTGAATTTTTTATAATGCAATAATAATAAATGGTAAATGAAATTTTCGTCTAACGAAGACAAAATATGGATGGAATTTGATTAAACCATAAGGAGAGAATAAGGAACAATAAAGGAAGGCCATTGTACAATACGGGGTTTGGAAATCTTTTATGCAATTAATTATAGTTTTCCCACTAGTGGCGAATTGAATGAGATGATTTTTTTTTTTAATTTATGTTTAAATGTTTTGATATAGATAAATGGCATGAAATACTAAATTTATTTGATAAGAAAATTAGAAGTGTTACCATTCCATTTGACATCATGAGCCACGTTATGGAAAACAAAAAAATATTTACAAAGATTTATATTTTTCGTTAAATATTACTAAGATACATGCGCATTTAATACAATGCATGCGACGAAAAATGAATAGACGAATACTATAACTATATAAATGGTAATTAAATAAATTACAAAAAAAAAAAAGAATAAATAACAGCATCCTCTTTGAAACAGTCACATTAAATTATCACATGGCCCCTCGCATGTGTCCTTTGTAAATGTTTCCTTGCCCTATTGGACGAAGAAGTGTCTTTTCCTTGTTTTCTATTAATATATAATTTTTCAACAAATAATATCTAGCAACTTTATTCGAATATTTATAAATATAGTAAATAGATTCGACCGATAATCAAGTTATGTCTAGAAGTTTGAAAGTCTGCAAAACTATCCATCCGAAAAATAACCAAAAATTAATAGGACAAAATTAGAAAATAATTTTAGTATAATTTATTATTTTAAAAAAATTATGACGATATTTTCTATATTTATTAAAAGTTAAAAATTTATCCATACCTTTTTTTACGAAATTCAGTTTTAATACTCATAAATATCCCAACATCTTTTGCGACTATCCGAACATAGATTTCAAATCTTTATACCTAAAAAAAATAAGGAGACAAATTCAAATACCTTTATTTATTTTTATTTTTTGGATATTCCAACCTTAACGACCATCATTCACAATCATAACCCATTTTTATGCTATATATCTCCAACGATTCTCTTCTTTCTATATATTTATGTCTTGTGGAAATATTTTTGTACAAAAAACTGCAATATTTTCGGTATATTTTGTTGACTACAATATATATATTTTTTTACCATATCGATATTTATGTACCAAATCATTGTAGGATAAAGATACAAATGACAAACATAACACATTGAAATTCATATTCAAAACGTTATAGAAGAGATCCGTAAATATAGATATTAAGTAGATTTTGATACATCTTAAAATCAAATATAGAATTGTGCGGCGTTATGATAATGTTATTAAGACCCTTCATTATTTAATGAAATCAAAGAGAATAAAATCTTACTAAATTAATTAATAGGCAATTAGACATCACATATTTGCTACAGTTTTGACCTTAGAGTCACATTTTCCGGTCCACCACAGGACACCTGTCCTTGTAATTGGTAAGGGACCATTACACTCTTATTTATTTCCCTCGTGACTCCCCTTCCTCTTTTTTTTTTTTCCTTATATTTTCCCATTTTTTTTAAATATGCTAAGATTAAATCTTATACACACACATGTATATATACACACACACACACACACACGTATATGTATAACTAAATTGGGATAAGTTTGTGGCCCTCTATTTCATTTGGGCTGTTTTTTTAAATGAGAAAACCATTATTCAGATGATCTATTAACTACTTAGAATTGATGACCGGTCGGTTTCTTAACAACTCTTGACTTGTTGATAAGCTTTGGAACGGATCTCTTGTTGTGATTCATTCATGTATTGTCCTGCCTTGATTAAGAGAACGCTAGGTGAATCCACTAGTCTAATATTTTTTTCCTTATTAAAAACAATTGTTTTTTACACTGTGTTTAGGTTTATACTAATATTTTGTAAAGTTTCAGGTGTTATGATTTCCACCAAAATTAACCAGTGTAATGTGCCCCTTATTTATCGGATTTTCTATTTTCTAAAATTTATATATCATATTCTTAAAGTAAACTGGGAAAATAGAATAGTTTTTAAAAATCTTAGCATTTTTTTTTCATATAGGTTTTAATTTTGTACTCTTGGGGGCTAGTTTTAAGGGTCTTCTGTATTTTGATAGTGAAAGGAAATTAGTTTTCAAGAAATCTTGCAAAATGCAGAATATATTTTTTAATGGGCCTTTTCTGTTAATAAAATGGGCTTGGGCCTTGTTCTTTAGAAAAATGTCGGTGAAATTCAAAATTCAAATCACTTTGAAAAGCCCATGAACCCTATTTTAAATACCCTTAACTCGCATTAAAACGATCACCTTTTCCATTTTCCCTTCTCTCTCTCTCTCTCTCTCTCTATCTCTCTCTCTCTCTCTCTCTCTCCGGCCTCTGCGATTTTGCGAGGCACCATTTCCCGGCGAGTCGGAGAACGGAGGGGATAAACCCGGCCTGCCGGCGATTTATTATTCTCTGATCTCCTCGTTACTTCACCCTGGAAATTTCTTGTCTTTCTAAGAGCTATGGGCTGTTCTTGCTTCAGATAATCTTGGTACAAGCGTGAAGATTTGAATTTCATCGGCGGGTTCTTGCTCTATATTTGAATTCGGGATTGTTCGAACACGTCTGCGTTTTCTTCAGGCATTTTCCGTCTTCTGCATCCATTCTTTGGGTGCGAATGGTTGACATTGTAAATCAGGTTTCTCATATTTATGCATTTGTCAGCAAGAAGTCTTGTTCTTGTTGGAGTTCTCCTCAGATCATCAATACACTTTGCAGTAAATTTGTTTTAAGCAGTTTGTTCCCTGTAGGAGTATGGGAAACGCCCGGTTTCAGGTGAACCGCTTGCCAGTTGGTGACAAAACTGGAAAGGTATGCAACTGCTGGTGCTATTTTTCCATGGAGCAATTCGTGCACTGACGTTTTAAACTGTGTTCCCTCTCTGGGAACGTTTTTTCTTTCTTTCTTTCAGGTTATTAAACCTAAACCATTGCGCACAGCTAGCGTCCCTGGACTACTAGGTATAGGTATGTTCCAAAATGTAAGTTTGTAGATGTTGTACTGTCTTTCCATCCTTTACACATTTGGGTTTGTGCTCGTTTTTCTGTCTGGAAGGTTCATTCAGAGAATTTCCCTCGGTATGTGGGCATATCTTCTGATTTTGAGAAATATGTTTTGGGGGTTTAGTTTAAATTCTCTCCTGATTTTGCTGATTATGCAGCTTGAGAAGTCACGAGATGACCCTTATACGGCAAGAGGGCCCTCATGTTTATCATCTTGATGTTGCGGCAATGTATCCAAATATCATCTTAACAAACAGGCTTCAGGTGCATTTCAATTCTCTTTAAATAATCGGAATACCTTAATGTTCTGCATTTTTTCTGATTGATTCCGAATTAACATCATGTTCCTTGCATATGCTGTCGCATGGAATTGTAAATCAATAACACCCATCAGTGATTGCTAGTTGTTGCTGGCTCTTAGCAAATCAGGTTGCACCCCTCGCAGTTATGATTTTGAACCCCTCTGTAAGTTCTCTGTAGATTAAATATATCTCAGGTAGTAAGTAATGTGACGTACTTGTGCTTCCTGGATCTTGATAGAACTGCCACTTGCCTTGGCCTCCGACAACTTGCCCTTCCAGATCTTGTTAAGAGTTTTATATTCATACCTCCTATCTCAAAAGTTTCAATCACGACCAATAGAAAGGATTCAGTACAAAAAGTTACACTTGCTAAAGAAATCAGGTTTTGACTAACTATCCTTCCTAAAGTAAAAATATTTGGCTGATGCCTGGCACTTTGTCTAGAACAGACTGAAGTCTGAAGGAAAATAAAAGCCACCCACCTGTGAACAGTGTCCACATAAAATGGGTTCTCTCTCATGCATAGTCTGAAGGAAAATAAAAGTCCAGTACTGGTTTAAATGCCTGAGGAATATGTGTATACTTCATTCCTTCTATGGATATATCATGCGCAAGTGAGTTGTCTGATCCCTCGAAAAGAGGCTAGATTTCTGTTACATTATCACCATGAGTTCTGTTTTGGTTTATCAAGCTTTTGCTTCTACCAATCCCAGAGGTGCATGATGGTACTCCATGGAAATGGCTGGTGCTGTTACCTACATTGGAGCGAAAATCATTCAGAATGCTCGCTTGCTTATCGACAGGATTGGGAAACCACTTGAGTTGGATACAGATGGTATCTGGGAGTGTTGTTTTCCTGGATCTTTTCCGGAGAACTTTACTTTTAAACTGAAGTAAGATTTCCAGTCTACATGACCCTAAATTCCTTCTAGTTTTAAATTTGTTTTGATTTATTCTGAATTTTCGTCCGAGGTTTTAGAAGGAAATTTAGTTTCTACATTCATCTCAGAGTAGGAATTGCTTGTGGCTTAAACATTAACCATATTCGTTTGTGCAGAAACATGAAGAAGTTTACGATCTCTTACCCAATTGTGTAATGCTAAATGTTGACGTGGCAGAAAATAATACAAATGATCAATAACAGGTTTGCTGAGCTACCCTTTATTGAGGATCTTAATATCGATGTGCATTCTACTATGTTGTTCATTGTACAATCCGGAAAGTGATTGCCTCTATCTTGTTTCATTTTCTTTTTGTGTGAAATGATTTTGCCACAGACTCTTGTAGATCCCGTCGACAAAACATATAAGACACATACTAAATGCTCGATTGAGTTCGAAGTTGATGGATCACCAAGGTAAGTGTCTTGAGATGGACCTTTTGAATGTCTTGCTTTATGGTTGCCAGGAATAAGCATGTGATATCCTTTCCGAACCGGCAATGATTCTTCCTGCATCGAAAGGGGAAGGAATTTTAATTAAGCAGCTGTTTCCAATCACGATGGATCCTTGGCGGAGCTCAAGATAAAGCGTAGAGGTGAGCTGAAACTCATCGAAGTTTTTCAGGTATCCACTTCTTACTCTTGTGTTGTAAATGATATAACTAGAGTTCTGCATTAGCTATTAGAAACTTTTAGGCTGCGAGTAGTGATATAGTGGGTTTCTGCTGATGTGCTTGTTCTGTCAACTTTTTCTACTTGCAGTTATTAGATTTTGTTTGCAAGTTATTTAGCTGCTAAATAAGAGTCTCTGTTACGGAAAGCTACAATGGTTGTAGATTGCTGCTCAGAGTGATCATTGAGGACTAGAAGAAAAGATTCTAAACCTTAATTAGTAATTACCATCTCTCTTCATTGAAGAGAGAATCCATACAAAATACTGATACATGAGATAGATGTATGTTATAGGTGTTTTGCTCATAACATCTTCATCTCATTCAGTTGATTCTACGTCTATAAAAGCTTATGAGAGTCTCTACTGGTTATTATACTTCTTTTCTGAAGTTAATGATTTTGCTAAAAGAAAACAAATATGTCAAGAATGAAACAGTATTTCATTGTAATAGTGGTAGATAACAGTTTGAGCAGTGAAAATCCATGATTTATTGGCGACGTAACGCCTTTCTAGTGCATTTTATTCGTAGAGTTGTTATCTCGAAAGGTTATGCTTTAGACAAAAAGTCAGGTTCGCCTTCTTACTAATATTAACTGTTACTCTTTAGCTGAGATGGCAGCCAATCAAATAGTTTCTCTTTTCTTTTCTTTTTTCTTGCAGGCTGAGCTTTTTGACAAATTTCTCCATGGATCAGCACTTCAATAGTGTTATTTGGCTGTCGCAAATCGCTGGCTTGATGTACTCGATGTCTGTGATGTCGTTTGATACTTCTTCTTTTTGAGTAAATTCATAGTTACGGAGCATTTTAGCATTTATACAGTCCGTATAGGTGTCACTAGCTTCTCATAATTGCCGTTGGATCATATTATTCATAAATTCTCCTTTTATTTCTTTCAGAATCAAGGAAAAGATATCAGACAGTGAATTGCTAGATTATATATCAGAATCGTGTACAATGAGCAAATCTTTAGCAGATTATGGCGAGCAGAAGTCATGTGCCGTGACCACAGCAAAACGCCTTGCTGATTTTCTTGGTGACACAATGGTCAAAGATAAAGGATTACGTTGCAGATGTGTAGTTGCTTGCGAACCAAAGGTGCATTTATACTTAGGTAGAGATTTCATACAGACACTTTTTCTCCCTCTTTGGCAGATTGGGCAGTTTTTTGCTTGGATGGTGTGGAAGGGATGATGCATAAGATCCCATTGACTATTCCAAGGGTGTTTTACATTTAATTCCAAAGCACCGATAGCTGAAACTTTTCGGGGAAAGCATGTCAACAAAATTCTTCCTCATGGAAGACATTGCTATAATCTGATCGAGGCATGTGTCTAACCCTTATGCATTGTTGCCTCTGTAGTTCTTTTACCCAGAAGCATTAATCTTTCTTGACAGGTTGTAATTCAGGAAGATCAATTTAAAAATGAAAGCAAAAAACTTGCATCCCTTCTTTCAGACCCCGAAATTGAGGTAAGTTTTCTTCTAATTTTCAGCTCGAGTCATGCATATGATCTGTTTAAAGAAACTCCCTGCGTCATGTGAGGGTTAGGGACAGGGTAAAAGGGGCACAGGAAAGTTTATATGTTTGGACTACACTGGCTCATTGATTTCATTATTTGTTCACTGCAGCGCAGAAACCGTGAATGAAAATTTGAAAACGAGTGCACAGGAAAGTATTTCTTATTCATTTCTTGTTGAAGGTTTCTTTCTGTAATGGAGTTGAAGATATCTTTTACCTTTTTTGGACGTGAAATCACGTGGTTTTATTGGCACTGATGCGGTACTGCTGCTTAGGTGTCTTAGTGGGCGATTCAGCCCGGTAACATTGGAGAAAACCTTCTGTTTGGCAGTCCAATGGATAAATAAAACAAAGTGACAAGAATGTGACACAAGCATGCTCCTTAAAAAAGGGATTTGGAGCTTCTCACATGAGGACCAGACCATAGTCGGTGATAGAGGTATAAATCTCAGTGGTGGTCAGAAGCAAAGAGTACAACTTGCGAGATGCCGAGATGATCCGTTCAGTGCTCCTGATGCACACACTAGCTCCGAGCTTTTCAGGGTAACAAATTCTATGCGTCATTGAAGATTCGTTTCATTTTGATACCTGTTTGGACGTACAATTGAACAACTGTAGGAATATATATCATCTGCATTGGCTGAGAAGACTGTCATTTTTGTGACACATCAAGTCGTGTTTCTTTCTTGTGCTGACCTAATCATGGTAGGAGTTTGGTTCTTAGTTTACTTGTCTCCAAGGATTTAGGCTATTGTGGGCCTGTTAGTCTTTTAGGTGTTAAGTTGTCTATATTGTACTCCCTCCGTTTTAAAATATTTGTAATTTTAGGTTATTTTCTATGTTTCAAAATATCAGTAGTTTTACATTTTCAAGACATCTTTTATAATAGTTTCTAATTTTATCCCCACCAAATTCCAATACATTATTAATAATTGTAAGAGTATATGTGACTTTTGATCTATTTTCTTAAAAAATATGAAACAATCTAAAATAATAAATATTTTGATAACGGAGGGAGGGAGTAACTATTGTTGTCCAAAGGTAGCCGTTAAGAGAATTTTTTAAATTGAAAAAAAAAAGAAAAGATTCAAAAACTCTGGACAAACATGTTACAACATCAGAACATGAGAATGTAGGACACCCAAATCTTATCACATTCTTGCTGAGGATTCTGAATCAGGAACCAGGAAGATCAAAGGAATCAAAGTGAAGAAATGTGAATTCTCTGCTGCAATCAAATCCTCACAACAACATCGATCAGCCTACCGATATCGCAGTTTGGGAATTGTTGAATTCAGGGATCAAGTTATAGTACTCCCTGTTCATCATAATTAGCAAAAGGGTTTTTACAGAATGGATTGCTATTTAGGCATTTGGATACATTACAGTACATGAGAGAAAGAGAAACGAGAAGCACCTATCCAGATGGAAATCAATCAATCCCCACTGGCACATCCTTGACATCCACAGTGAACGCATTCCACGGCTTTCTCTTCTCGCAAGTGTTTGGGAACTCGGCATACGCAAGTCGTCCCAAAGTTGTGGTCTCTCGGCTGTATGCAGCGTAAGCAGCAGAGACGTTCGTATCCCGACTGGAATTTTTCAAAGAGAGAATACACGTGTATCACTCAGTGCAGTCACAACTCAACAAGAGGTTATACAATACCAATCATGAATCTTGATTGTCTGGCGTGTAGTTCAAAAGGGAACAAGAAGAAAGCAAGGATTTTTTTAAGCCGTTAAAATCAATTGATGTAGAATTCGACTAAAAGAACTAAATAAAAACCGAGGTGCCAGCACAATTTAGATTCAGGGCTGTCAAGCTTGAAGACAAATGGATGACAAAAGTGAAGGGTTTTCTATTTCTCTCGGCCATTCATTGTAAGCTTGTTTCTACTTTCTAGTAACTGAAAAGGGTTCAATTTCTCATCAAACATCAAATTTTCCTCAAGGATAGAATAAAATTCCAACTCACCTTTTTCCACTTTGCAATCAGGCTGCGGTCCCCATATCCCTGATCCAAGCAGAACTCATACAACTCTTTAGATATTTCATTCCTTCTGTAGTAAAGGTCATACAAATACCGGCTCCTCTGATGAGAGATTTTGAAGATTGGCCACAGGGTTTCACACTTTCTTTTTCCATCATGTGGATCGGTCTCAGCTGCACAGGACAAGATCATCAGAACAAAGTTGGTAGGCGAGATAGTGGCATGGGATGATGGGAAAGGAATGAACTTCTAGATTTGAGCTTGATTTATATTACAGATATAGATCCCAACTAACCCTCTCTCATCTTGGCATCCAGCTCCCGAAGTGTAGGTTCAATCAGCTCCCACCCTTCTGGGTATTTGACCCGATTCGTTCTAACCTTTGGCATTTTTTCTCCCAGCTATAAGAAGAAGAAAATTCAATCATACAGATTGCTATATGAAATTTCACTGAATCTGATATCTTCTGTACACAAGAACCATGGTTTCTCCATTTTGGTTCACGCAGATATAAATTTTAAACTATCAAACCAAGTGAGTATCAAGCAAGAAAAAAAATATTTAGACAAAACTCGTAATCACCATGACAAGCACATATTTCGAATGACTGGGTTCCTGCAAACCCGCTACAATAAAATATCATAAATTTTACGACTTTTCACCTAATTCGATCCTAATTTTAAAGATGGTAAGTTAAAGTTTTGACATGGTTTTATGGAAATTCAAAACTTTGCAATGAAACCTTCAGTAATCCACAAAGACAGCTAGCCGAGATTCACTGGGTGGAATTAAAACCTTGGACCAAAACATTTCCTCCTTGACATCCTTCTAAATAGCCCGACAAATCTTATTCTTAAAAAAACATGACCTTAGGCTAGCAAAATAGGAACATTGAAACTTAAGTTAAAGATTAACAATAAAGAAGATTTCTAAACTCAGCTCAATCACGTGTCAAAAGTCCGGACGAGATCCCGAAATTCCATGCCAGAAACAATCAGGTGATAGTGCTGAATCTATTCCGAAATCATCGGGTAACACTGGCTCACCTTACACCGTTGGACAAAACTTCTTTCCTTGAGATGAACTGGTTAGGAAAGTTTCCTAATATACTATACCCGGAATCATGGTAGTCAAAAGCCTTTACCTCATGTTGCTTTAGAACTAGAAAGATTTCACGACATATGCACTAAAATCATTACAGCAGTGAAAGCATCACAAGAACTAGAACAATTGTTATTGCCCTACAACCCAAAATTCAGATTCTGAAAGTGTAAGCAACACTATATGCAACAAATCTGAAGAAGCCGCCGGAATATCATTTCGGCTTTAATTTCTCGGAATTCTCGTATAACCCTGTAATTCATCAGACAAATCAAAAGCTTGCCGATTCTTCAGAATGACTAGGCGACCTCCCGAACACACGCGACGTGAGTTTGGAACCACCGCAACCGAAACCCTAATCCGACAGACCCACGAAACCCAACTGATTCTTAACAAAGAAAAGACAAAAAAAAATAGGGTTCATGTTCGAAGAGGGAGAAGCAATGGACTTACTACTTCCGTCGCGGAACTGAAGCGCGAAAAGGATTCTTCTGAGAAACTCGAGAACCTGGAAACGGGATTTAATTTAGAGCCGAAAACGAAGGGTTTTTGCTCGGCAAAAGGAATCAAGAATCAATCAAGGTTTGGGGTTTTAACCCTAATAACCCACCTGGGTCGCAGCAATTTCAGGGTACACCACCCAGAAAAAAAAAAAATTTTGCGACCTTATTACGACTAATATATAACTAATATACAACTAAAATAAGAGTAGTTTGTTAGTCGTAATAGGTTGTATATTAGTTATATATTAGTCGTAATAAGGTCGCAAAATTTTTTTTTTTTTTCGGTGGTGTACACTGAAATTGCTGCGACCCAAGTGGGTTATTTGAGTAATATTCCCTCAAGGTTGTGGTAAAGAGAGAGGCCAATTTGCGTGTATTTAGTTTCATTTAGAAAAAAAAGAACAACGATTTATGGTTACACGTTCAAAAATCAAAATCATTTATTCCATTTTTATGGTTCGACCTAAAGATCAATTATCATACTTCTAAAGAAATCGACGATTTAGTTTATTTATAGGATTCCAGTGATTTTAATTTACGAACTCTATTTACTAATTCATGTTATATTTATTTTTTAATCGATTTTTTACATCCAAAGGTAGAAGACATTAAAGAAGTTTCAACATTTTTTCTTCTTCCAAATTTGATATCAAAATTACACCAAACAGCCATTGCTAGTATGATTTTTATTTTCAGCCATCACTAACATATATATGACATTATATTGTGTTTCTGAACAATGAATGACTGAAATTATGTCTATAAAAAAGAAAAGCGACAACAAGCCTTTCTGACATATATTTCAAGAAACCCCACGAGCTTCTGTTCAAGTGTAAACCAAATCAAGATACGGAGATGACATCAAATATCTTCAGCTTTCGGCATTGTCTGCAACCAAGCAATTATTTGGGAAACACAGACACAACCAAAGAAACTTCAAGAGCATTGAGTGCTAACATTAAAACCGGCACCACATACGGAGCCACACATTCATAGAGAAACCAAAAAACAAAACAAAACAAGAGAGACTTATTCCTTCTTCCCAATGCCATGAGACATGTTATAGATCCCGGTTCCCTGTTTGAACAATACACAACTTCCTCGATTAGTTCACATATGAACACACCAGTCGCAATCTATTTTCAGAAACCCATGATGGGTATCGCTAGGGGTCTCGTAAGAAAGCAAATGAGATGTAAATGACAGTTTTTTCTGGTTTTCCAAGAGAACACATGGGCTTTTGATATTTAGGTTATAGGGAGTAGGGAGTGCTGTTCTATTTCAAGCCAAGCAACCAGAAACCTTTTGATTAACTTTTAACAACAACTAAAACCAGAGGGATGTGGGTTTTCAAAATGAATCAGATGGAAAAAGATAGAAACAGAAATCCGGATCTTGGAACAAAGGGCATAGGACCATGGGAATGGACAGGATTAACTTACAATCATGTAGAGCGAGCTCGCGGCCAAGGCAAGAGGAATTGCAACAGAGGTGATCTTGTCAAATGGTCCTTTGAGGTAAGTGTGTTTGTGGATGCTCTGGAAGAATCTCTGCTTCTCAAGAAGCTTCTCCCGTGGCCTGAATGGAGATTCAGTCATCTTGATCTACAATCACAACCAAAACAAACCTTCACAATGATTCGAGATGTGGCCAAGGTGTCGAAAGTGCAGAGAATCTCCACCGAGTCACCGACTAGGTGCAAAGGCAGATCCCCTTTTACCGTTTTACATAATCATATCAACACACACACACACACACACACAACACGAAACAAAGTGATGGCAATCAAGTTAGGCTTCCAAATCATGTTATAGTTCAAACCCGATCATTAATTTCAATATACCTAAATCACACGCACCGAGGGGGGTTTTGTAACCAGAACAAAAGCAAAAAAAGAGCAAACCTTTGAAAGAAGAACACTTTCAATTCAAATTCAAAACCAGACAGAAAAAATAGAGACCATCCTAGAGAAGTAAAAGAACACCACTGCTGTTCCCCTAAGTCTAAGCAGGACCAATTTGAGTAGAAATGGTGAAAACAATTACGCGACTTGGTGCTGCAGGCAAAGAAAAGACAAAATCTTGAGGAAAAACAGGCCCGCGATTCACTGTTCATGTATGGAAAAGTTTTCCCATTGAAATGCGTAGATTTGACAACAGATCGATACATCAGAAAAACACTGACCACATAGACAAAGAATCCGGTTCTTGCAACCAAACAATCACACGATCGAATAATCGAAAACACGGACAGTGAATTGAGCAATCAGAATAAACCAATAGGCCAAACGAAGCAGAGAATCCCCAAAATTGGATCTAAAGAACTCCACGATTTTTCTCGATCTTACTCAATCACAGATCGAGAATCAGAAGCGGCGAAACAGAAATTGAATGGAGAAGGAAACGAACGTGAAGTGAGGAGAGACCACGGAGTTGGTTCGAACCAGGATGGCTTCGGAGAACTTTGACGGCCGAACGAGAAGAAGGGTGAAGGGGCGTAACGCGAAGCCAATTGAGCAGGAGATAAAATGCCTAGGGCTCTGTAGTTTATCTACGGGTTATTTATTTTATTTGTTTTTAATTAATTCATTCTTCAGGAGTTAAAATAAAATTACTAACGAATTCATCATATGGTCAAATGTTTTTTTTTCTCACTGTTAAATATAAAATTTTCAGATTATTACGGATAAATGTATGAGCCCATGGGCCTTAAGCCGGCCCAATTAAATGAGATTAAGGGGATTTTTCAGTCATTTCATTTATAGTCCCAAAGGGCGGGAAAATCATCTGTGTTCCCTCCTCCTTGCTCCATCTCAAGAATCTCCATTTGGACCGCGAGGGTTTTGTGGAAACACTTTGCTTTCCTGTGAATTTTGTCGGGAAAATATTTCTTTTATAGACACTTTTATTTTGAGGATAGTTATCATCTATCCTTCATTGAGATTTTCTCAGATTTTTTTTTTATTTAAAATCCCTCGGATTGCGAAGAAACGAGCTCCATTGGCAAATGAACGGAGGAGATAAGCGGAGATGGGATCGGAAAAGTTCGTGGAGTTCGAAGAAGCAGAAGGTGGTGAAAGATGCGGAAGACGAGATCGAATCCAAACTTGGATTTGAGCTTTTCTCCGAGGGAGAAAAACGCCTGGGGTGGCTACTCACATTCGCATCTGTAAGTTTCGGAAATCGCACTCTGTTGCTAGATCAAATTTCCACCTGTGGAGGTATGTGATTGTTAGAATTGGTCATAAACCGTAGTGGTTGAACCCGAATTTGGCATTAAATTGATCCAAAGGTTCGCCAAAAATGTCAAATATTGACTGAAGGGGAATGGGGTTTCTACAATGACAGTAAGGGAGTTCTTTAATTTGAGTTTACTGAATTCCTCTGTTAGTAGCTCTGCAGCCAAAAATTGTCTTCCGATTACGAAATTCAAGTGTTTGTGGATTAAATGCTTCTTGAGGTAATAAAAATGAAAGGGCATGCCTTATGAATAAATTAGGTGTTCAGTGATGTAGCTTATGTTAGCGGGGCACTCAATCTGGTAATGAAGGATTCTGGGTGTCCGGTGTTTAACATGGGTTGATCCCTAAATCCTTATTAGTGACAGCAAAGTTGTTGTCCAAATGTTTTTTTTTTTTTTTCCTGAGAAGTGGACATGGAAAGGCTTGAACTTGTGCATTAAGACAATGTTAGAACAAGAAAGCTACCTTCAGAGGTATGAATTACCTGCAAGATAGAAATAACACTGGTTATCTCACTTCACTTTGCAGTCTTCTTGGGAAGATCCAGATACCCGAAAAGTCTATAGTTGCGTAGACCTTTACTTTGTTACTCAGGTGAGCTCCTTGGTTTTTCGTTATTAGTTGTTTCCAATGAGAAACAATTTTTGTTGCATGTTTCAAAATGTTAATTAGTTGTAAGGATTTTTACAGGATGGTTCTTCTTTCAAGACAAAGTACAAGTTTCGTCCTTATTTCTATGCAGCCACAAAAGTACGATGGTTCCCCTATCTGTTAATAAAATTGTACAAGTGCCGAGCAGATTGAATCACTTTTAGATCTAAGTTTGACCTATATGTTAATAAAATCGACGGTGCTAACATTACAGGACAAAATGGAAATGGAAGTTGAAGCCTATCTAAGGCGGCGCTATGAAAGTCAAGTTGCCGATGTTGAGATTATTGAAAAAGAGGATCTTGATCTTGTAAGTCAAGAATACATATGTAGATTTTTGTCCAATAACCATGGAATCCTCAATGTATGATATGGTTAATAGGTTCCACCAGCTGATTAGCACCACTCTCTTCTCTCCTCATGAATGCATTAATGGATATGCATACAAAAGCGTTCTGGTATAAGCTTTAGTTGTTGACCTCGACTCTAATTGTAGCAGAGCAGCTGTAGGAATTAGTCCAAAGGAGATCTTTAATCCATGTTCTTTGTTGAAATCTCTTTGAGTTTACCAATATTTCAACATTAGGCCATAAATATTAATGCAAGTAAAATTTTCAGTTTCTTAAACCATTTGCTGCATTCTTCTTAATGAGACGCAATAATATGCGAGTCATGATTGTTCACACTACTTGATTAATTGTCATATACATAACTTAGAGTAAACTGTTTCATTGAGGGTTTCTTTATGCTTTATTTGTGAACCTCTATCTATTAACGTTTCTCAATTTCCTATGTTCATGAGCAGAAAAACCATCTTTCAGGCTTGCACAAGAAATATCTAAAAGTATCATTTGATACTGTGCAACATTTGATGGACGTGAAGAGGGATTTGTTGCATATCGCCGAAAGGAACAAGGCAAAATTTGATGCTCTTGAAGCATATGAATCCATATTGTCTGGAAAACGGTAAAATAGTCTAATTTTGTCTGAAGATCTTCTATTAAATAGATTGTTACTGAGTTCACAAAATCCTGCCTGTTAGAGAGCACCTTAAAGTCTTGGCAGTTATTTTCCAAATCGTTTCTCGTGTGTTTCAATTATGCCTTTTTATGGTTATTGGGATGCAGAGAACAACGCTCTCAAGATTGTTTAGACTCTATAGTGGACCTCCGTGAGTATGATGTTCCTTATCATGTCCGTTTTGCCATTGACAATGGTAATCTATTTTGTCTGAGCGACATTTCTGTTCTTCTGGTTCAATTGTTGTATCTGCAATCTCAACACAAGACTTGATGTTTATCAGATATACGCAGTGGGCAGTGGTATGATGTTAGTACTTCTAGCAGTGGTGTTATACTAGAGAAGAGAACAGATCTTCTCCAACGTGCAGAGGTCCGTGTTTGTGCATTTGATATAGAAACAACGAAGCTTCCATTGAAGTTCCCAGATGCTGAATATGATTTGATAATGATGATATCCTATATGGTGGATGGGCAAGGTTTTCTAATTATTAACAGAGAGGTAACTGTTGTAGATCCTTATGCCATCTTGTGGATTATTGGTCTCTATCTTTAAAGAAGAAACAACTCATAAATCCATTAATAACTGCTTGCATCATAATCTCGGAGAAGTTGAAAAGGATCACTGTAAAATTTATCCTGGTTGTCTGGTTGCTGTTGTGTGCAGTTCTCGTAAAAGGATTTAAATTGCAGTTTTCAGGTTGCATGTATTTCATTGCTGGTTCAACTTTTTCTGCTAACTCTTTTTTTTGCTGCATTTAGACAAATTCTATCTTGTTGGATTATTTTTCATATCAAGTTCTCATCTGATGCGAAACTCAGTGTGTAGGTGAAGACATAGAAGATCTGGAGTATACACCAAAACCTGAATTTGAAGGGTACTTCAAAGTGACAAATGTTAACAACGAGGTGCAGTAATTCTCTTGACTTGGATATACTATCAATGCACCAGCCATCTAGTTACATATTTTGATTCTTTCTTGTAGGTTGAACTCTTGAGAAAATGGTTTTCCCATATGCAAGAATTGAAGCCTGGTATTTATGTTACATACAATGGCGACTATTTTGACTGGCCTTTCATAGAACAGAGAGCAGCTCAGCATGGGATTGAAATGAGTGATGTAGAACCACTTATCTTTCATACATAATTCTTGAAAATTTCTGTTAAACTGTGTTTGTGAAATGAAATATGGGACTTAATTAGATAGTCAGAGATGAAAAATTTTGGATTGACTTCTATCATTTGTTGAGACAGCCTTTGTGCTTAAAAAACAAAGTGAGGGCACATTTTCACAGGTCTCCCAAGAACCCACATGGTGTGTGATCTTGAAGCAGGGTGCTTGTTTCTGCATATCCTTGCCTCTTTTTGCTAAAAGGGAAAGCTGTGGATCTTCTAAAAAAATCATTGAATTGCATTTTTCTATCTTACTCTGAGTTGGTCTCCATATCTTCTGCCATTAGAACATCATGCTCAAGTTTTGTTTCTTTTATGCTGAAATGATTTTGTTCAAGTTTTATTTTCTAATATTTTATCATGGTTGCAGGAGTTGGGGTTTCGTTGTGATAAGAATCAAGGTGAATGTCGAGCTAAATTCATGTGCCACTTGGATTGTTTTGCTTGGGTGAAACGTGATAGTTATCTCCCTCAGGGGAGCCATGGTCTGAAGGTTCACTCAACTCTCTCTCTCTCTCTCTCTCTCTCTCTCTCTCTCTCTCTCTCTCTCTCTTTTTCTCTCTC